CCATGAGGTGTTCTGATTTTTTGCTGTTTTGTCTCAATGCCCTGGATTCTGATTCAAATGTCGCCTATGGTTTTAGCATCTGTTGATTTTCCCCTCCCCCCTACTGTTTCTGTATTAACTCTTCACTTCTAGGCCTCGCTGTAGTATGTAACAATTTTGGAATATCTGTTGCTACATTGTGTAATGGCAAACATTAGGGGCATTAAGCAAATGGGAATAATGGAAGTGAAAAATAGCTTTCTTACACCAGCTTTACTGTATTTGCAGTTTTTATGGAGTGATATTATGGTGGATATTGACCAGGTTGTCATTTCGAACAATATGTTGACCTGTATACCAAGGTTAGACTCTGAATGCTTCTTAGAATTACCACTTACTTTGTCATGACTTTGTATAATGGAGATGGTGTTCTCAATTTAAAGCTGTGAATACTATGTTACTTTTGAAATAGTGAAAGTTTTTTCATGTCAGTCGTGACCATTGATGACTAATATCTTCCAAACTTTAAGTTACTTGTATACCACGAAATTTTGGCATACTAAAATTCAGTGAAATCTGCAAGTAGCCTGGATCTTAGTATTTTTTAGGGTAGAAGCTCCTTTTTCTGCTGTTGACACACAGAAGGAAAAATTCGTCTTCAGATTTCAGTAGTTAACATGTATGTGTCAACTTGACTTTTTATTCCAGCAGTGACCATGAATGTTGTTTTAGGTTACCTATCTGTTCTAAGGAAATACAAATTTTTCATTTGGTCAGCTACTACAACCTCCTGCTTTTCTTCCTTGTCTTTTTTCTTTCTTTCTGTTCTTAACTGGCTCAAGAACCTTGCAGCCACCATCATAATCTCCTATCCTGCTCTGAGCTTGCTTCTTTTACTTTTGGATACCTCAAATGACTCCATGATTTCCTCTGCATAATTTTTGCATTTTTTTTCTTCTATATAAGATTATGGAGTTGTCATAAGCATGTCTGGTCAGCAGTTTTTTCCCCTATCTTGTACTTTTGTCTATACTCCCTGCATGTAAGGAGATGACTTGCTGTAACTGTAAGTTTGGGTCATCCTAGCACAGATTCTCTTCTGCTACCATTAGATTTTCATACAATGGGCACACCTTATACTTTTACACAATGTCTCTTCCCAGACCACTATGCCTCTTTACATGAGAAAGTAAGTGTTTTTAAGAGGACCAGACAGACTGTTCAAGATTTTTCGTGGCCATTGACATGTAACTGTAACAACTTTTAATTTATTTAGAAGTTAGAATTTCTTGTCTTTGAAAGTAAGAGGATGTGACCTCTATGTCACAAATACTTTGTAACTATAAAATCCATTAATAATTTTAATTAGACCTGTATATACATTCACACTTGTATATAATGAGTGAAATGCTGACCATTTGATTTACCTGTAGTGCTTGTGCTCCCAGATATCTGAGGCAGCTATCTTTAGGAAATTAGAGGTGATAACTGAAGTGTTGCATGTTTGAGACAAAGAATAATCCTTTGTGCAGAAAAGAATGGTGACACTACAGTGTAAAAGTGTTTTTGGCATATTTTAGCTGGAATATTAGCTATTTAAGAGTAGTTTGTTGGATAATGAAATGGTGGTTGGGATAGCAGGTAATGGCCTGTCTCTACTTGTGCAGATGCTGCTGCTATGTCAGCTACAATCTTTTCCTGTTGGATTTGTAAGTCAGCAGTACTTTATGTGCTTTTAAGGTAAAAGATGAAGAAAAGTGGCAGTGAGCCTGTAGTTCCAGCATAGATGTTTTATTTACATGCTTTTCAGGAGTGAATCATGTAGGCATTTCCTCTTCATACAAATGACTTCCGTTGTTTATTTATGCATGTAGGTGAGGAATATTTGGCCATATAGTATCTATAGCTACAATAATAGCTATTACAAGCTTTTCCAATCATATTGACTCAAAGATAATGATAATGGAACATCTGACTTGTTCTCAATTGGCTATAACTATGTTCACACTGTCATGACTTTATGATGTATTTCTTCTGTTTTTCCTATGTACTTATATTCTTCTGAATAGGTTCTGTTGCAGTGGCTTTAAGAAAAATAAAAATATAAGTAGAATTATTCATTCAGTGATGCTTGCTTATAAGTGTTGATTTTAAAAAATATTTATTTGCAGTTCTCTACTCAGTGTATATGTACCCTTTCAGTTACTGTTTTATTTAGTGACTCATTTAATCTTTTACTCAATGACTTAAGTTTTTTTTTCCTTGAGTTGCTATAAATCTTGAAGGATGGTATTTGGGGCCTGTTTGTACTTAACATTCATTTGGAACCTTGGTTTTTATTATTGTTGTTAAAAACAATGGTATTGCTACACACTTACTTGTCATGTTTTCAATTTTTTTAGTTTGGAAATGCTGGACAAAGTAGAGCCACCTACAATCCCTGAAGGCTATGCCATGTCAGTGGCATTTCACTGTTTACTGGATCTTGTCCGTGGTATCACTACCATGATTGAAGGAGAGCTGGGAGACACAGAAACAGTCACTCCAACCACAGCAGAGACAACTTCATTACCGACGCAGTCTTCAGAGCAGCAAGATTTGCAGTCTCTTTCTGATCAATCAGAGAAAGAACTAGGTATTTGAAAATTCAAACACTATATAAAATACAACATTTCTACAGAAAGAAGGATTTTAAAGTTCATGCTTTGTTGCTTAAATTTAGTGTTTCTTATTTATGTATAAAAACTTTTAATGAAGTGGTTTTGGTTTGCTTTTTTTTTGTAATGGAACATCAGTAGCCTATTAAAAAAATTGACTTTATGTTCTGCTTCTGTTCTATAGCACCTTAGTCACAGATTCCTTATGGTCTATTAATACTGTTTTATGTGTAGGTAGGTGGGATGTGAGGGAGGGACAATAGGCATTGTGTTTGACAGAAATACTATTCTGCCTTCCTGTGCCCTTAATTTCTGCTTAACACTGAGATCCAAGGTCACAAGAGACAACTTGACAGACAAAAATGGGGCACTTATGTCCACATTAGAAGACAAATGTATTTCTAGTAACAAGATAAAAAGAACAATAAGTATTTTAATGGAGAGATTTCAGGAAAGATTGAAGCATTTAGGGAAGAACTTCTTTAAAAGCAGAACTGATATGAACTGAGGATTCTATTTGTGCAACATATGACGAGTCTGTATAGGGGTCTGTACCTACAGAAGGGCTTGTGTTTGAAGAGTTGAGATTGGCTTGTGCACGAGGAAGCCAAGACTGTAGGGCTGAAGTTCGAGCCCAGGCACCCGGGCTGCCCAAGGGAGAGGAGAGGGAAAGAGAGGGGCTTGTCCTGCTGCCTCGGACGTGGGGAGCTCTCCATGGTGCTGCAGCAGCGCCGACTCAGCCCTGGGACTTGTCATGGCCGGGTGGAGAGGGACGTGTGGAAATGGTATAAGCAGCTACCCCTCTGCTGGACCAATACTTCTTCGCTATTAAATAAAAGAAATGGAAAACAGAAATGCAGAATTTTGAGTACCAGGGGAGAGTATTTTTCCTTCACTGAAAAATTTTAGTGTGTTTCTTGTCCCTCATTTTTGCACTTCTGAAAGTTTATTTTTATACAGATGGATTAAAAATGCTTATATATACACCTTCATAAGTTGCTTTGTTTTTTTGGGGTTTTTTTTGGTGCAGTTTAGAATAAGCAGTGCCTTGATGACATTTCTTGCTTTAAGAATGTTACTTTAAATGCAAGTGTTGAAATTCTACTGGTGTGAGTGTGTTTCTGTATATACATATGTGTGTCTGTGTATATATATATAAAACATGCAGTAGCAAGCAAGTATTTTGTTTGTGATATAATTGAAAGTTATTAAGGGAAATACTGTGTTTCTACTATAAAAAAGTTTATGTATTTCTTTTAAGTTAGCAGAGCTGTCTGGGAAGAAATGGTGAATGCTTGTTGGTGTGGTCTTCTGGCTGCTTTATCCCTCCTACTTGATGCAAGGTATCTGGTCTTTCATTTATCTTGATTTTTCTAAGATGATATTCCAAGCTTAATTTTGAACTGACTTTTGATACTGGTCAAGTTGACAGTTGTCAACATGAGTGCCATTCATGGCACCTGAGCAGTCGGGTTTGTGGCTTAGACTGAGTGAGTAAATGATACAGAAGTCTCCAGACATCTAGCATCAACCTTTAATGCATTTCAATAAAGAACAATTAATTGCATTTTTGAAGACTTGTATTTAAACTATTCAAATGATCTTTATTTCTTTTTACTTTGACGTGATTCCATGTCCTAATTACTGTAGGTAAGAGATTAAGTAATGTCTTGATGCTTGTTAGTACTATCTAATCTTTTAAATGGAAAAGCTATTTACTAGGTAATAACTACGGTAAATTAATTGTCTCCTTCAAAGAGCCTTTTGTTAATAAAGCATTTTTTTCTGAAAATAGTTTTAAATACCTCCTCATAGTCTCCTTTACCATGTTTCTGAGAACTAAAGTCCAATTTTGTAAGAAATGGTTCTGAAGAATTTTGTTGATTGCTTATGCTTACTCTTCAGTATTTATAGTGTTGACAGGTTTAAAGTATATGTTCTCAGGGCTTTTGATTTTGGTTACGTATTTGCTTCTGTGCTCTGGATTAATTCTTGCTGAACAATGTGTACTCTTTCAGTACTGATGAAGCTGCCACTGAAAATATTCTAAAAGCAGAATTGACCATGGCTGCACTTTGTGGAAGACTGGGTCTTGTAACATCAAGAGATGCCTTTATCACTGCCATTTGCAAAGGATCCTTGCCTCCTCACTATACCCTTACTGTATTAAACAGCACAACTGCAGCTCTGTCCAGCAAATGTAAATACAGAAACTTTCCTTAATTGTGTTTCCATGTACTGTCCTCTAAACCCAGTTTTTTTCAGGATGTGATTCCAAAGATAGGCAACTATAGTATTTGGCTATATTAAAGTATGTAAGAATCCTCAGACAGGACTTGGGTCTCCTGGTTAGTCTTGCAGCATCTGCTGAGTATCATTCTAGTCAACCTAAAACTTCCTGAATGCTTAGGGTGTGTCAGAATTCTAAGGATCTGTCTACCGTGCTAAAGATGTAATTAAGGCATCCAAAATCTGTAAAGGTCTCTGGGCGGCTTGTATACTAAGGCTTTGGCTAGAACATCCTGCATTTATGGTGTACTACAATGTTTTCTACAGTTGTCTAGTGATGTTAGTACTTACTGCATAAGTGGAAGATCTAAGCACTGGGCTCTATTCAGCTTACAGAAAGTTGAATTGATGCTTCCCACACCTTGAGAGAATGTTGTAATTCATGAGATATGCCAGCTGAGGATGTACTCTTTCAGATTTTGAAAATGAATTACTATTTCCTGAGAAATGCAACTACCTGAAAAATATACAGATGGATCTAGCATTAGACCTCCTAATATAGAACAAAGCTACCTTAGACTGGGAACAAGGACCAGCACCTTTGCTTCAGTCCAATCCACTAACTAAGTGTGTTATTAGATCCTAAGTCCGTAAAGACGTATGCATGACTGAGCCACACAAATATCTGCTGGAAACAAAGCAGAGAACTTAAGTTATATGTATAGGTTGTCCTACTTTTTACAGGTGAGTTATAAAATGGGTGTCCTGAAGTCCTGTATTGGAAAAACGTCATGACATAGTATTTATGACACCCTCGTTTTCTGAGTGCACTAGTACAATGGTAGCACACAGCGATACCATTTACCCACAGTTACTACCAATAGCTGACTTGAGTCTAATGCTCATATCTTAAGCATAAATATTTCAGTCTTAACATAAAATATATTAATGTTTTGCAAGCAATGTCTAATAGTTAGAGACAGGGAGTAATTGCTGACTCTTTAACTCTGTAAGGCAATGACATAATAATCTAAATATAACTAAAGGTCTCAAAATGAGCTACCTTAAAGCTAATACTGTGAAAAAAATTCTCTGGAGCGTATTTGCCAGAAGGTGGTTGTTACTACAAGTAGTACTGGATTTTAAATTTAGATTTTTTTTTTTCTTTTCAATTTTCCTATAGCATATTCCATTCAGGGACAGAATGTTCAAATGATTAGTCCCTCAAGTGAGTCTCATCAGCAAGTTGTAGCAGTAGGGCAACCCTTAGCTCTTCAGCCACAGGGAACAGTAATGGTAAGTACAACCTGTAAGTGATCTTATCCTGCTTAACTACTTCTTTCTGCATCTCAATGTGTCTCAAAAATAGGTTACAGATAAACAGCATTCTTACAAATAATGGTCATCTGAACTATTATCCTAAGGTTTTAATTTGGGACAGCCCAGGACACCACAGTTCTCTAACTGCAAAGAAGTCTTATTCTTTTTTTTTTTTTTCCAACTTTTAGCTCAGAAGCTCCCATCCATTCCATTTGGAAAACCCTAGATCTTAGCTCTGTTATGGGCCTGTGTGGGAAGGTCCACTTACATATTTTTTTTTTTTAAGTTAGACTGATTTTGTGGAGAAGACGCAATTAAGCTGGAGTACTTGAACTTGTGTCTTTGATAGTAATGTGAAACTGGGAGGAGAGGGCAGCGATCAAATCATGGAATCATAGAATGGTTTGGGCTGGAAGGGACCTTAAAGATCATCTTGTTCCAACCCCCCTGCTGTGGGCAGGGACACCTTGCACTAGACCAGGCTGCTCAGAGCGCCATCCAACCTGGCCTTGAACACTTCCAGGGATGGGGAATCCACAACTTTCCTGGGCAGCCTGTTCCAGTGCCTCACCACCCTCACAGTAAAGAATTTTTTCCTAATGTCTGATCTAAACCTGCTTTCTTTCAATTTGAACCCATTCCCCCTTTTTCCGATCACCACATGCTCTTTTAAATAGTCTTGCCCCATCTCTCCTGTAAGTTCCCTTCAGGTACTGGAAGGCTGCAATTAAGTCACCCCAAAGCCTTCTCTTTTCCAGGCTGAGCAATCCCAGTTCTCTCAACCTTTCCACATAGGAGAGGTGCTCCTTCCCTCTGATCATCTTGGTTGCTTCCTCTGGACTCTCTCCAACAGGTCAATGTCCTTCCTGTGCTGGGGACCCCAGAGCTGGATGCAGTACTCAAATACTCATATTCAACAGGATAAGACTGAGAGGAGAGATACTGAACTATGTCTCTAAAAAAGATACATTGTTCCAGTGCAAACAAAATGTAGTCTTTAAGCTGCTTAGTAAAAATTGGAAGATGGCTAGAAACACTGTCATTGTGGAATGATAAAAATTGTGTGGCGGATTGGTTGATTGTTTTTTTTTTCCTAGTTGACGTCAAAAAATATCCAGTGTATGAGGACATTACTCAACTTAGCTCACTTCCATGGAGCCGTTCTTGGTACATCTTGGCAACTTGTCCTGGCTACTCTTCAGGTATAGCAGGAAATATTTATGCCTTGCTTTTATGCCTTGAAGTTTTACCATAATTTGGTTTTGAGTTAGTCTGTGAGCAAGAGAAGAAGCTTTGATTCTTCTCATGCTGTACTTTGAATTGCCTTGAGTAAGTACTGTAGCATTTCCTTGCATTCTGTTTGGCTGGAAGGTTGCTAACTAGTTTGAGTATAATGTTAGTTTCCTCTCTACCTGAAAAGGGTTTTCTGCTGAAAATGATCCTTTTGTATTTCAGCATCTTGTGTGGATTCTGGGACTGAAGCCTAGTGTTGGAGGTGCATTAAAACCTGGAAGAGCTGTGGAAGGGCCCAGTACAGTAAGCGCCACTGTTCGTTTTTCAGTTAATGATTACACAGTATTTTCTATTGCAATCTACAAGACATATTTCTGTATCTTTTTCAAGGTTCTGACTACAGCAGTTATGACTGATCTGCCATCTATATCCAGCATGATTTCAAAGCTTTTTGAAAACTCACAGTAAGAAACCTTATCTTATAATTAAAATAATGTGTGTATATCAAACAGTGTTTTGATACCAATTATTTTTCAGGTACCTTGATGATGTGTCTTTACATCACTTAATAAATGCCCTTTGCTCCTTGTCTCTGGAAGCCATGGATATGGCCTATGGAAACAATAAGGTATAAGAAGAGTTCTTTACTTTTGTTTTTAGATGTTTTTGTGAAACACGCAGAAGACTTGTACATTTATCCTCAAAGCTGTTTATAATACTAAGAACAGTAATACCTTTGATGCTCTACAGTAAAAATTAAATTATGAACCAGAGAATGTCTCATTTGTGATAGTTATACAGTTTCTAAATTCTGTGAAGATTCTCATTGTGTTCTTTGTGCTTTTTGTTAACTAAGGAATGTCATGTGTTTCCATTAATGAGATTGTGGGTGGATGAAACTTTTAAAAGCCCTTATAATTTCAGAGGTTAGGGATTCTGAGTAGCAGAGTACGTTCTGTGAGGTGCTCATTTTCATTTAAATTTTGTCTTACAATGAGAGAGCCAACAATTTAGATATTAAAAAAACCTGATAATTCATATGTACTTGGGAAAACCATAGTATTCATGTCAGCCTCAGTAAACAACCTTTACCTAGAAAGGTTAAAGACCCTGTGATTGAATAAGATTTAATATATATGATCCTAATAATAATCTAATCCCAGAGAAGAGTTTCTGAAAGTTTTTCATTCATCTGTTACACTAGAGATAATGAAGGCAGAAAACATGCTTCATAATATTTGGCAATTACAGCAACATAGAATGAATTAAAATAAACGAAGTTTATGTTTAAAGTAAGCTGAAAATTAGAATAAGGAATCATCAGAAATGGGAAGAGACAATAATTCCAGCACAATAGTCATTTTGACTATATATTGATGTTCAAAAAATTAAAGGAAGTTTATAACAAATATTTCCATATGTATTTGATTATCATATTCCTGCAGGGCATTTTTGAAGCCAATGGAAAATAAAGAATTAGAGGATTATTAAATGAAATATTCTAGATTGTTCATATATAATTTTAACTTTAAAAGTTGTAATGGGGAAAAAAGCTATTTTGCTAGCTAAGTATGTTATAAAACTGATTGGAGAGAGGACTATGTAAACCCGAGAGTTTTTAAAGGAATATCAGTGCTCTGGTTGATGTCAAATTTGGGGAAAACGATGTGAAAAATTATGGAAGTTCCTCAGAGTGTGCTGCTGCTGCCCCCTTGTGGCTTCTTCTGCAGCGCTGCCGGTTCTGCGGGACCTTCCCAGCGTTCACAGCCTGCGAAACGCTGTGCTTGGAGACGAACTGCACCTAATTCATAAATTATCATGTAGCAAAACGTTCTGACATTATCTCGGTTACTTCAAAGTCGTGTTCAAATTCCATTTTATTAAGGAACCATCGCTTTTTGCTGTTGCTAAATTACTGGAAACAGGACTAGTTAACATGCGCAGGATTGAGATTCTTTGGAGACCTCTGACCGGTCATCTTCTGGAGGTAACTAATGGCTTTTAACAGTTGTACTAGAATTTAGTTTGTATTAATGAAAAAATCTAAATTGTAATTACATGTTTTGGTTTAGGCACCTTGTTTTTGCAACACAATTTGAATTTAAAAGTTAATTTACATATTTAAATTCCACTATTTTAATATCTTTTACTAACTTTGTCTTTATGGTGCCATCAGTCTTTTTGTGTTTTTAACACAGAAATGTTTAAAAGGGTCAATTTATTATACTTCATATATGTGTTGTAATTAAGGTAGCACAAACAGGTTTTGTTGTTTCACACAGTACAAATATCTAGGAAGATTTCGAGATGGACTGAAGCCATGAGATTTACTAACAAAGGGTTGGGGTTTTTTTTAAACATTTAAGCTAACATCTGATTGCATTCTTTAGAAGAATACTGTACAAATATAAAAATATGTGTCATAATCCCATTTCAGTTTCTCAAGTATTTCAACTTCAATGTGAAAAATATGCTCCCTCAAGGAAAAAATCTTCTATTTTGAATTGAAAACTAAAAACAGGTGATGGAATATAATTGTAATTTCAATTCTCCACACAGATATTAGAAGAGTAAAATACAAGAACAGGGTTCGATTTAGAGCGGGTAAAGGAGAAAGCTTTTCTTCCTCATGTTCCAGAGTGTATCAAACCCTTCCTTAGCACCAGTGCATTATTTCAAACAGTATTAAGGGTTGGTTATCTCTATTTATGGAAGCCACATATTGTTTCATCTAGAAGAAAAAATTTGGATACTTTGGGGTTTAAAGATTAAAGCACAGGCATCTCCTTCTCTTGTCTATTTTTCCCCTTCAAAACAATAAAGTTTACCATCCACATCTTGAGATTGTGTTTTCATCTCAAAAGTAGTCTGTTGCAGTGTTACCCATGCATTGTGGGTAATTTGCCACTGTTTTGTAGGCAAAAAAGTCTTCAATTTTATTTCAAAGTATTGCCTTATTTCCTTTTAAACCTAAGTTGTTGAGGTACCATAAGGAAGGAGAAAACATTGGCTGCAAATTTAATTAAACACGACCTGGGGGAATAATTTGTTCCCTCTCTCTGGAGCTGATTATCTGGACAGATTCAGAGCATTATGAAGTAGTTCAAATTCTCTCTCTTTTTTTTTTTTTTTTTAATATATAAGATTACAAAAATATAAGTAAATCAGGAGAGTAGCTATTTCTTGTCTGCATTTTTTAATGTGAAGCTAGCTCTTCTACATTGTCCTCCTTTTCACTTTGGCTAGTGGCTGATAAGAGAATGGTCCACGAACAAAAGCTATCAGCCTTCTTTATGATCCTGCCTTGGACTTTGGGTTCTCACACCATCTGAGCTAGAGCTGGAAGGATGAGTGAGAACAATTATGTAGAGGTCAAAGAAACTGTAGACTTTGCATATTTGTTTGAGTGTAATGTATTAGATATGGGGGCTACAGTTCATACTAGTTATCTATGCAATGGATATGCAAAATGTTTTTAATTTTCCTGTTCTAAAAAAAGCAATTAGCAGAATTTATTAGGTTTAGATAATTAGGAGACAAAGAGAAATGAAGACATATTTGAAACTCAAGTTTGAAAATGTTCACTATTGTTTTTTCAAGTTTTTTTAAATAATGAAGTGTAAGGCTTATTTTGCCTTCAATATGTAGTTACTTTTTGTATTTGAGAGTATAGAAGACACTTTCTGTGTGGGCTACTGCCGTGTTCCTCACTTAGTTGTGTTAAGCAGTGTGTGATACTTACAGTTTTATAGTAGCTTAAGGCTAAGTTAAACCTGAGAGTTTCAGGCATTCACTGAAGGGTTGTTTGGTACTTTTAAATCAATCATTATCTGAATTAGCAGTTGGTATATTCATTTTGGAAAATTTATTGACTTGAATTATGTATGTAACTTTCATTATGTTTCCTTCTGTGTCTTTCACTGCTCCCTATTGCTTCCTTATGCAGAAGGTATGTCTGCCCAAAAGATCAATTTCTTTTTTTTTTTACGATTAAACCTAATTTATCATCTAGAGATTTATTTTATTCTGGTTTAAAATTATTATAATATTGTATGTGCATTATAATATAATTCAAATAGCAATTTTTAATATATATATCTATATAAATTTTAGTTAAATAAAAGTGACTTTAAACAAAACATTGCTGTGTTTTCAGGTCTGTCAGCATCCTAACTCCAGAATGAGAGAATGGGGAGCAGAAGCTTTAACTTCTCTCATTAAAGCAGGGTTGACATTCAGACATGATCCTCCGTTGTCTCAAAATCAGGTAAAGTAAGTTTAAGAGCAGCTGCTTTCCTCCTTCATTCGTAAAGGAACTTTACTATTGAGTTTATAAAGTCTATAGCTGTAACATTCAAATGTAACTCTTGAGAATCACCTCATGCATTCTAATAAACTATCCTTTTTTTTCAAATACCTAACAAAGAGTGGTGATGTTTGCATATTATGTCCATTTTTTAAAACAAATTATGGGTCATCCTCACGAGTGCAAAACAATTCCAGAATGTTTAGAAGTGTATATGTGATGTCATGGCAGGTAAAAATACGTTGCCTAAACTTCTAAATCACAGCTATTCAATCCATGATAAATAAAGCTTTCTCATATATTTATTGAGGTTCAGTGGGTAGCTTTTCCAAGATCTCTTGAGTTGAAGCTGAGTGTAGCCCTGCTGGGCGAGCATAAAGTTGCATGACACTTTTTATGCAGCTGTAACAGCATGATGTAGCTGCTTCCTGAGGAACCTGGAGAACAGGGGCCAGGGAAGTATATTTTCTGCTAAGATCCTTTATAAACAGTATTTTAGAAAGTCCTTTCTGATTCTGAATTTGAGCATTTAATCAGTGAGCTACTGAATTAATTTAATAAATCTTTAATTTGTACTTTTGTATTTTCACTAACTATACATAAAAATAATTAAGGATCAGTTAAATGTTAGCATCCTTAATATGCTTTATTGTTTGCTTTTAGAGGCTGCAGTTGCTTTTATTGAATCCACTAAAGGAGCTGTCAAACATTAGTCATCCTGATATCAGGATCAAGCAGTTGGAGTGTGTGCTACAGATTTTACAGAGTCAGGGTGACAGCTTAGGACCTGGTTGGCCATTGGTGCTTGGAGTCATGGGGGCAATCCAAAGTGATCAGGGGTAAGTGGTGGAAATAAAATTTTAAAATCATATAAGATAAGAACAGTAGAAAGAATTCTGCTTATATTTTCTTCTTTAATAGCCTCTTCAATAATAACCATAGTTTCATTGTAGTTCTTAGCTTGCGAAAAATTTTACTTGGCAAAAATACAGTTTTTAATTTTTCCTGGAGCACACTTTTATTTTACTGAATTAATCTCTCAGAAGACCAGAATATTATTCCACTGTAACCTCTCCTGTGGTCAGCATTTAGTATACACAGAGGAGTACTCAATGTGCCATTTCATTTGATCTTAAGCATCTGCTAGACGCATCTCTGCTGCTTGCAGATAATTCTGTATCAATCAGCTGTTGCTCACAGTTTATCTGTTGTTTCTATTTCTTCTTAAATCTTCCAGTAGTCTCCAGTGTGTGTCATCTTCTGATCACTCTCTCTCTTTCTTGAAGACTTTCTCCCTAAATGGTTGCTGGTAGCAGAAGGATGGAAGATTATTTACTTGCTGTGGGTGAATCCCTTGACCTACTAACACAGTTAGTTGCCACTAGAGGTGTAATGTTACTGGACTGGTCCTCTGCCCACAAAGGAAAGTGAGAGGTGAAGTTGCAAGGAGTTTTTTTTGAAATGAGCACTGAATTGATCATCTGACTTTGGAACTGTAAGCACCAAGAATTATACCCACACACTCAAACCATATTATTCATTCTTTGGTGCTAGTCAAGACTAGCAGCAGGATAGGTCATACTCTGGTATCAGAAGAATCTCCTTGGCGTATCTCTCCTTTTGTCCCACTTTGGATTCGGTCTTCTGGCCATATAAAAAACTCCTAAAGCCACTTCAAATGCTTGAAGGATTTTGCTCTTGTACCAGTATTCTCTGGCAGTAGTTCTTACACCACCGAGGATTTTGGCATTCTTGGTTGTGAGCATCCTTTGGTACTTGCTGTTTCCACACTTGGTGCAATGTGTTCCTGCATGCCTTTTGATTTTCACTGTTGTTGGTGAGGGATGAGAACCAACACAGATTCCTTCTCAAGACAGTCTTCAGATCCAGTTACATCTCAAATCCATACCTCAGTGGCAGATATCTCAAGATGTTACTAGCATCTTGTCTTATGTCTTAGTCTCTGCCCACAAAGCATATAGAATAATCTACTTTTCTTCAACTACATAGCACTGTTTGCCCACATCATATTAACTACAGTAGGAAAAAATTAAGCAAACCTCCTTTTCCTTGAGAAACAACTGAATTTCTTACCTAAGTTACAGCTGTGAGCACAAGATGCAGATACTATTATCATACTTTAAATATAAACTTACTGACCACAAGACTTTCTTCATGAGCATCTTCCCTTTGCTTAGTGAACATCCTGGATTCCAGGACAGAAATTCATTTACCTCCCTGGAGAACTTCTTTCTAGGCTGTTATAAATACAGAAAATACTCTTTTGTGAGCCATTGATGCTTCATTCATTTCTGGATTGTACAGTACCAGCCTGCCAAACAAAAGGAAGTCTGTCTTTGAAGAATTTTTCAATGGGATGCCCCTGTTTATTTTAAGCCCTGTACAATATGAAGATTTCTCACTAAGCTTGAGTTTCTTGCATTTATATTTACCTTTTTTGTGGTCACCTATAACATCATGGACAGTTTTATGATTTGAAGAGCTGTATTGCTATTGCCTCTTGCATGAAGGACGTCGAAACCCTTCTCTAAACATATAGTAGTGTGGGACATTATTTGGGCAATGACCTGTTTTGAATTTGTTCTTGTAGCCTTGTATTTGAAGTTTAGAAAGAGAGGTTACTTTCCCATTAACTCAGTGCTTCAAAATGAGTAGTGTAACTATACTGTCATTTCCTATCTCCTTCCCTGTTCTTTTAGAGTCCTTGAAGGTGACCTACCTCTGGAACAGGGAGGGTGGAGGGGGAACTGCAGCACTTTTGGGTTGTGTTTCACTTTATAGACTCCTGTAATGAATATGGGGGAAAGCATTGCTGTGAACATTTCCTCCATCAGTATAGCAATGATAAATACTTTGATCTTATGTGGTAGGGTGGATGTTTCTGTGCAGTATGCATCATATTAGAGAATTATTAGTTATACCATTATTGTCCACATGAAGTTTCTTGTGCATTCTTCTGGATTCCATATCATGTTGTCTTTTATGATGCAGTGGAAATAACCCACACATGATTTTTATTTTGAATTAATCAGAAAAAAATATTTAATTTATGATTTTGAAACAGGTAATTGACATATCTATAATCTGGATTTTAGCTACCACATTTGAACTAACAAGGCTTAGAACTCTAGAACAGAGAAGTGGACTCTACTATATAAAGTTAACTAAGGACCACCAGAAAGCCTAAACTTCAACTCTACTAGATAGTTAACATGGGCTAAAATGCTTAGTCAGAATTCCAAGCTTCAACTTAATGTTATATCTCAAAAAACCCATTTAAAATATTGCAAATTCATCTCAAAAACATTAAATTGATTTTTTAATTTTGTTTTTAATAATACTATCTCCTGAGGTATTGTATTCAAAACATTTCTGTGCTCTTGAAGAAATTTGAAATGAGTGCATGTGTGTGTATTTTGTTTTTGTTTTTGTTTTGTTTTTTTTTTTAAGTGAGTCCTTAATACGGACTGCATTCCAGTGTCTTCAGTTGGTTGTGACCGACTTCCTTCCAACAATGCCATGTACTTGTCTACAGATAGTTGTTGAAGTTGCTGGAAGCTTTGGACTTCACAATCAAGAGCTAAATATTAGCTTAACTTCAATTGGTTTGTTGGTGAGTTTTACATTACCCTACAGTTATGCTGCTTCTGGCTTTCATTTTTTTCTTATTTTAATGAAAACTAATCTGTAGTCAATTATACAAATGAAGGCCACAACCTTTTTTGGGGGGGTTCTTACCATGCTCTTCATCAGTATGCATTTTTCGTCTTTTAATATGTTTTTCCTTTTCTGATGCTTCATGTATAACTGGGGCCTAAAAGCTGAGGATAAGAAAAATACTTTTTGCACCTTGCAATATTTATGTGCTGATCTTATTTCATCAGTGTAGAGAAATTATTATCCTGATGTGCTTTACAAAATACTTTGTGAAAATGAGGAGCAATTTATTAAGAGCAGTACAATATTTTTATTGTATAACACCATATGTCTTATTTATTTTGTAGTGGAATATTTCAGATTATTTTTTCCAAAGAGGCGAAATAATTGAAAAGGAACTAAACAGAGAAGAAGCAGTGTTGCAGAAACAGGCGGAAGAAAAGGGAGTGATGCTGAATAGACCTTTTCATCCTGCATCACCATTTGACTGTCTTTGGTTATGCCTGTATGCCAAACTTGGAGAACTGTGTGTGGATCCCCGACCTGCAGTTAGAAAGAGCGCTGGACAGACATTGTTTTCTACTATTGGTGCTCATGGAACTTTATTGCAACATTCAACATGGCACACAGTAATATGGAAGGTATGATGTGTAAGCTTCCACTGAAGGTTTTGTAAATAGCATTCACATTTCAATAACAATTGAGCATTCACCAGTTAATGACCATTATCAGTTATGTAACTTATTTAGACTTTTTAAAGATAACATGGTGTCAGAAATCTGATTTCTCAGGTTTTGGGAATGTTTTTTACACTTTCTCTTCTCTGGCCTTTAAAGCCTCTCTTGAAATGTAATTTTCATGTCTTGATTATTCATTTCTTACTCGTAAGTTGGATTAAAAGACTGTTTCTTTCCTACAAGAATGAATGACATTTCTTTGTGTGAAAATGGAGATGTTTGAGGGACATGATTAGGCTGACCTGCTGTTAGATGGAGCCTTGCTTTACGCTCTGTTTTGACTCTCTTCTTTTGAGAGAATCTGTCAAATGCCCCGTTTCTAAGTCACAGTCATGTTTGTTGTTCTTTGTGGAAAAGTTAGGCTATATTTGAGTCTGCTTGTTGTACCTGTGAAGAATCTTACGTTCACTGGTTTTAGCCTTCTGTTAGTGCGAACACTGTTCTCGGTGGGGTTGATTGTGCTATTTCTAAGCCTTCTCAAGTGGCCATCATTTGACTGATTCATAATCTTGGCTGCTGTGGAGACTATTTAGAACAAGGGAATTTTCAGAGTGACACAGTGACAGAATGGATCATGGAAAAATTACTATTTTTTGTTAGTTTACTATGAATACAACTATGTTATTAGAAAAGTTGCATTTTTCCTCTTTTTTTCTGACTATCACAGGTTTTATTTCACCTGTTGGATAGAGTTCGAGAATCTTCTACCACAGCTGACAAAGAGAAGATTGAATCAGGAGGAGGCAACATTCTCATCCATCATTCAAGGGATACAGCTGAGAAACAGTGGGCCGAGACATGGGTATTAACACTGGCTGGAGTTGCAAGAATATTTAACACCAGGAGATACTTACTGCAGCCTTTAGGTAAAATTTATAGTTACTGAAAGATACAGTAATAAACTTCCTGCTTTTGTGTATTTTTTCTATTAAAGTACTGGGCAAGAATCTTAATCTTAGCTTAAAAGCGTGTTTTGTTGTGTCTCGCCTCAAATGTTACGATGATTAGGGAGTTACTAGTTCATGCTCCTTAGAGCTAAAAATTTTAACTACAGATTTTGTCTCCTGTATCACAGTAATTGAGATTAAATCTCAGTAGTCACAATTCCGGGTGCCAGATAGGTTTAAATTATAGTAGCCTGATAACAATAATTTTTCTCTTCTTTTGGTTGTCAGAACATACTTTTCCTTTTGTCTTTCTAAGGTTATGCAACACTTGCCTGGAACTCTTCTGTGGCATCAGTGTGTCAAGTTTAACTGTACTCTTAGAATGTAAAGAGAACTCACCTGTAAAGTCAGTGGAGTATTGAACATTTACATTTTTCATGTATGCAGTAATATTTTACAATAGCTTAGTAATTTCTACAAGGAGAAAGTGAAAAAGAAATAGAGAATGTATAACTTGCAAAGCAAATTCCTCGTTACATTAATATACCTTCACCATCCTATAGTATACAATTAATATATATTAACTAGAAACATGTTGTCATTTATTTCATTTTGGTCGTTGTGATATCAACATATTAATAGCTATCAAGAGTATTGGTCATTTGCAGAAATGTGGTAGATTTTAAACTATATTAAACTTGAGTTAAAACTGAATAAAAAAATTAAAACTATTTTAATTATTCAAACCCTGTAATTACTATAATAGAAAATTGAAGGTTATGGCTAAATTTAATGAAAAACTCAAATGCCCCAAATGAAATCTTTCCACAGTACAATTATAAGAGCATTTTAAAATCAGTTCTTTATAAATACATTGCATGACTATAGATTTGACCCTTAATTCTTTGTGTGTGCTTAACCCTTTTTTGAAATCAACAGGCATCTGGTGTGTATAAGAACAAATCTGTTTCACTATACTGAATAATGAAAATGTATTTTACTGGTATGGGATGTGGTATGTGATTTTTCGCTAGCAAATTTAACATGAACATAGATATATTGTTTCATTCTTCATATTTGTGTGTTTCTCTCTCACATTCATTCTTTCTGGTTATGGTTGAACTGATATATTTTAAAAAGCCATTCGAGCTGACGCCTAATCTCTTGAAATTTCTGTCTATGAGAGTAACAAGTATATGAACAACCTTTTAGAGAGGCAGGGTGGATGGGAATGGGAATAGGAAGCAAGTTCCTAGTTGATTTTTTCCCCTCTCTTTCTTTTTTAAATAGGAGACTTTTCTCAAGCCTGGGATGTTCTTCTTGATCACATCCAATCAGCAGCACTCAGCAAAAATAATGAGGTTTCCTTGGCTGCTCTGAAAAGCTTCCAGGAGATCTTACAAATTGTTTCTCCTGTTCGTGACTCTGAGAAGCCTGAGACACCACCTGCCATCAATGTTTCTGTACCTCTGGTGGTAGGGGCAACAACTGCCACTAGTCTTGGTAGATCATTCATGAGAACTGACTCCATAGGAGAAAGAATAGGAAGATATAATGGATCTGAACCACCTGTAATAACAGATGAGATTGAAGATTTGAATCTTTGGTGGGCAGCCTGGAACAGCTGGTATAGGATTGGTTCCGAAAGTACAAGGCCTCCAATTACTTGTGATAAATTGACTTTCATTCCGAGCCAGCCTTTTCTTACAGCTTTAATTCAGATATTCCCAGCTCTTTACCAACACATCAAAACTGGTTTCAGTATGGATGATCTCCAAAAGCTGGGTGTCATTTTGCATGGTGCTGTTTCAGTTCCAATCAGTTCAGATGCTTCCCCTTTCATCCTTCCATCTTACACTGAAGCAGTTTTGACAAGTTTACAAGAAGCAGTGCTTACCGCTTTAGATGTTTTACAAAAGGTAATAATGCGACTTCTGATGTGTGGTGAAAGGTAAACTACACTGTGTCTCACTTCTCAGAACTATAGTAAGGGACTTAAACATAATTTTTTAAATTATTTATAATTGCACAGTGTATTGTATTAGAACAATCAGATCTCCATTCCTGATGCAACCTAGGTGCTCTGCATTGAAAGGAGTGGAATAATCTTTATGAAATGTACTTTTGGTTGATTGCAGAAATACTTTAAGTATTGTGCTGTGTTTGTAACCATTTACTTGGCTATCTAATATTGAAGTACTGTTGATGTCGAAGGTCTCTACATGGAAATAGGGGAACAATCCCACAAGGCAGAATCATTATCTTTGCAGCGACTCCTTTAGTTTATGAGTTTGACAAATACTCATGAATGTATTTTGAAAACAGAGGTATAAAAATAGCATCATAGGTAGGCTTGGGTTGGAAGGAACCTTAAAGATCATCTAGTTCCAACCCCCCCTGCCATGGGCAGGAACAGCAGTGGTCTGGAGTAAATTGTTTTTCATGAATTTCAATTCATTTTGCCTGGATAGAAGTTGGTATTAAATCTCAGCTTTGTATGTGGTTATATAAGTAACATGAAGTTTTAACACCAACCATGTCCGCTACATTTTCATCCTTTTCCAGTCAGGCTCGACTTTTTGTATCCTCCCCTTTCCAGCAGCTCAGTCCTGCCCAAATACTGTTTTCCCCACTTAGTCACTCAATTTATTCATCTCAGATTTTTCTGTTTCTTTGTTAGTCTTCTTATCCAGATGATCTTAGTTTCCAAAGGGTGCAGGCATTAGTGCCTTTCAAAGAGGGGGTTACCAGAGTTTTTCACATGATGAAAAACTGCACATTTTTATACTCTTGTTCTTGTCGAGATAAACTGCTTTAGCTGAAGGTTTCTTAAACAATAACAAAAGCTGCAACTCCCTGTGAGAGGGAGACATCTCCCCTTCCCCACTCCCAGTCTGAATGATTAGCATGGCAGTTACAAGCCTTTGCAAATACAGACTTCCATAAGATGGTACCTCAACTTATACAGTACCTTCCATCCCTTCTATAGTTATGTTATTAACACAACAGCACTGAAGTTCCTAAAAAAATTAGTTGAAGTATATTTGGATGTCAGTAAGTTCTGTGAAGTTGTGTGATTGCTCCTCTTGGCTATATAACAGAGTACAATTCACATGACAAGGCAGCCAGCCAGTGCTGATGTGGAGCAAAGGCGATCTGTCAGATGGTTTTGCTGCAGGCTACAGTATCTTTTTCTGTCTTGAAATCAGTTGATACTCTGGGGAGTACACACAGAAGCTAGTGGATGATTAAAGAAGAGTATGTAAATATTTGCAATCTTCTTTGAAAGAAAAAGTTTTTCATGTGTTTGCATGAAGGATCAGGTTTTTTGGTGATACAGGAAGACTTGGGTCAGTTCTGATTTTCTAAGAACTTGTAGAACAGCTTTGCAGTTTGAATAGCATAAAAAACCCTGATATTTCTCAGATGATCCCTGGACTGGTTTAATAAAGATATTTTATAATGTGATTCCACTAACAAAAGACATTGCAACTCAAGAACATGGGACTGGGAGGGAGCTTTGGATCTCCTTTCAGGCTTCCATATGTTGAGCCCATTTTACACTCTTTATTTTGTTCTTCATTGTCTCTTTATTTCTCAGTAGAACTTGTCATCTAGTCTTTTATTGCTGTAGTATAAGGTTGGAGGGGTTTTTTTTGTAAGTCTCTTTCATCACTGTAGCTCAGCTAAAGTTTTATCTCAAGCCCAGATTTGCTCATTATTCTCAGTTCTTCCTTACATTCACTGTAGATCAACTCTACAGCGAGCCAGCTGGCTCATCAGATAGAACACAGGTGCATACATGGGGATAAATACATTTGAATTCTGCCTCTGCAGGCAGTGTGGATGCAAACCTCTTTAGCTGTGAGTGTGGTAAACTCAAGGCTGTATTTGCATATACCAACAGCAATGATAGAGACTTAGCTACAGAGAGCAGTTAAAAAAAAAAAGAGAGTACTCCATGCCAGTAGTTGCACTGGGAGTTGTTAGATAAATCTGAACTATTAAAAAAATGGAAGGTTAGTACTAGAATGCTTTAAAGCATAAATTTCTGAAATTGAAGTATTGTGTCAATTTTGCAACAAAAAACAATCTGCAGAGTACTTTCTTTTAGGCTTTGTTTGTGTTTTGTTGTAGTGTGACCACTACTTTTTGATTGATGCGGGTCTCTTTCCTTAAGAACGTAAATAAGTGCACTTAATGCAGTAACTAACACCCTGTTCTATAAGCAACTCTTAAAGGTACTTTCAACATCCTTTGTCACACACTTTGTTAGGCTGTTTTTCAGATTTTAATATGATTAGATAAAAGTTATGTAGTGTCAGTCAGAAATATAAACCTCTTTGAAAAGCAATTCTAGTTAGTCCACAGAATCATTTCGGTTGGAAAAGACCAACAAGCTCATCGAATCCAACCATTAATTCAGCATTGCCAAGTCCACCACTAAACCATGTCCCCAAGTGCCATATCTGCACGCCTTTTAAATGCTTCCAGGGATGGTGGTGACTTAACCACTTCTCTAGGCAGCCTTTTCCAATGCCCGACAACCCTTTCTGTGAAGAAATTTTTCCTAATATCCAATCTAAACTTCCTCTGGCACAACTTGTGGCCATTTCCTCTTGTCCTATCACTTATTACCTGGGAGAAGAGGCCAATCCCCCACCTCCCTACAGCCTCCTTTCAGGTAGTTATAGAGAGCAGTAAGGTCCCCCCGAGCCGCTTTGTCTTCAGGGTACACAACCCCAGCTTCCTCAGCTGCTCTTCACAGGGCTTGTGCTCTGGCCCCTTCACCAGCTTCATTTCCCTTCTCTGGACATGCTCCAGCACCTCAATGTCTTTCTTTTAGTTAGAGGCCCATAACTGGACACAGGACTCAAGATGTGGCCTCACTAGTGCTGAGTACAGAGGGATAATCACTTCTGTGGTCCTGCTGGCCACACTTTCTGATACAAGCCAGGATGCCACTGGCCTTGGCCACCTGGGCACACTCCTGGCTCACGTTTGGCAGCTGTTGACCAGCATCTCCAGGTCCTTTTCCATTGGGCAGCTTCCCAGCCACTCTTCCCCCAGCCTGCAGTGCTGCATGTGGTTGTCATGACCAAAGTGCAGGAGCTGGCACTTGGCCTTGTTGAACCTCATACAATTGGCTTTGGCCCATTGATCCAGCCTGTCCAAATCCCTCTGCAGAACCTTTCTACCCTCCAGCGATCAACACTCCCACCAAACTTGGTGTCTGCAAACTTGCTGACAGTGCACTCAATCCCTTTGTCCAGGCTGTCAGTAAAGATATTCAACAGAACTGGTCCTAGTAATGCTCCCTGGGATATGTTAAAATAGTCTTCTGTGGGTAATGTAAATTGTATCTGCGCAAGTAAGTTACATCTATTCAGAAATTACCCAGGAGTTTATGGATGCTCTTTTCCCTTTCTATTCCATTTGTTTGTATATAGAATCATTTTTATACCTTTTCGAATAGGTATGTAATCTCACATTAACATGTTAAAATTTAGTGCGGTGACTTTAGTGCAGCAGATCAGATGAAGTTGTTTTACAGGGTGTTGAATAATTTTAGATCAGCAATTAACCTTTTAGTCTTCTGCAGTGCAAGTGAGTACCTAGCTTCCAAGTATCCTTTTCAGAGTTCAGTACAGTTTTGAACTTGAGTACTAGCAAAGGAGTATGCTTTTTTAGGAGTTCTGCATTATATTCATAATGTTGATTAAGCTTTTTGAGCATTAGACATGCATTTTAAATTGTAGGAAGGTGAGGAAAAGAAAAAGGCCATTGATGATTCATGGAGTGCTCTGCTGCAAGTTGTCCATTGCCTGAAGGTGCAGCTAGGTCTTCAGGTGATGTAGTGATGAATACCTGTAGCTCCTGTTGGCTTGCTCCCTCTCATGGCTGGGGACTCAGGATATTTGCTTGCCCATTGACTCACACAGCTCCTGATGTGGCTCCAGCATGAGGGCTGCACTCAGACAGTTTTGGAGCTGTTACCACCTTGAGTGAGTTCAGCCACAACTTCTCATGGATGATCTGTGGTTAATGAAAAGGGCGTTTAATTCTTCCCCACAGAAAAATGACAGTACAAGCACAAAGTCTTTTTGTAGAGCAATAAATTGACTGTTTCTTGAAGCTTTGAGAGGAGAGACTTTGGGAAGTAAAGCAAGGTATTTAAAATGGCAGAAAATAATTGGAGTAACTTCATAGAATCATTGTATCTTGCTTTGAAAATAAATGCCCTAAGATTTCCTTGGGATTTATATTGCAACTGGAAATCATTAGCTTCTGACAACATGATATTTCATTGACACCATCGAAGTACACCCTTCCTGAAATGTTTTCCATTTTAAAGCAAGATTATGAGTTTCAGCTGTACCAAAATCATATAATTCTCATTTATTTATATTCCTTTCTGTAAGATGCTATTTTAACTACTTTTTGAAGCTTGTATGATTTACTTCTGAGATTTAAATGTTCCTTGAAGTAGGACTTAAAGAAGATGTGTCTGAGATCTATATACAAGACTTATATAAGCCTTATATTTTACTGACATGTCAAAGTAGAGTCAGTAAAGAAAATATATCTCTTTTATTGGATGAGATAGCTGTATTTACTGAACTATATATGCTCAGGTACCTTGCCACTTAATTTACTTTAATAAAATAAGAAAACTTACTTTCCTTAAGCTGTTAGAACTATCCACTGTCTTTTATACAGCATGACTCTTGCATAGTCTTATAGGGGGATTTTTCATTAGGAGTTCCTTGCACTGATGCAGATGTTGACTGCAAAAGCTCAAGATATATATTAAGCTTTTGTATTTTCTTTTGGTATAGGCTATATGTGTGGGCTCAGAAAGTATGCAGATAATGTATCCTGCAATCTTTGACCAACTGCTGGCCTTTGTAGAATTTTCGTGCAAGCCTCCACAGTATGGACAGCTGGAAACAAAGCACATTGCAAATGCAAAGTATAATCAGGTAATTAATTAGAAATTTGTTTCACTTGGCTGGTGAATCCAATTGAGCTTCAGATACAGGTTATTCAGCAAGATGCATTTATTCAATCTGTAAAAACTTCACTGTGCATGTTGTGTAGTAAGTTTTTTTACATGCTTTTGTTATCTTCATTTACTCCCTTTACATTCTTCTTTGCTTTTATACTTTGTATTCCTTCATGTAGGAAAGGTCTTGCCTGGACACCAGACATAGTGAATGTGTCTGAATTTGTACAGTGAATTAATCTAAAATAATTTGTCCTACACATGATACTAAATTTAATACAAAGACATGATAATTTTGAATGGAGAAAATTCCCTCAAGCTGCAGATTTTTGAATTGCACGTGCTGTAAAGAAATGGGACATGTTCAGTAATTCTTTTTATCTGTGAACACTGCTGTTCACTAAGCATGAGCATCTGATTCAGTGTAATGGAAGAGGTAACTATTATGTATGTATTAATTCTTCTTATTCTGTTTGTCCTGCAACACAATGGAATCACACTAGATACAACTATTTGCACCGGTGAGTTAAATTTCCTTAAAGATTGTCCTAATGTAGTTGTCTTGCCTAGACTGCAACATTTCTCCTACTTAAATGTACTTTATTTCAACGTAGAGTACATTTTCATAGCCAGACTACGTTGTATTTGCAGTTTTGTTGCTTGGACCATATTAGCAAACCTTGCATGCATTAAACTGAGAGTTCAATGCAAAACGTACACCTTCTGTTCCTTAATTAATATACTTTCACATATAGTTTAGTAATTTACTAATTTCTTTTCCTAGGCGGAATGGGTAGCATTGAATTACGTACCATTTGCTGAGAGATCTTTGGAAGTTGTGGTGGACTTATACCAAAAGACAGCTTGCCATAAAGCTGTGGTAACGGAGAAAGTTCTTCAGAACATTATTAAGGTAAAAGTTTGTCCTGCGTATGCTCTGAATTTAATGAGCTTATATTGAAAATCATGAGTTTTATTTTCAGCTAGTGTTTATAAACACTTTCTGGGAAACCTAAAGCTGTAGTAAACAAATGGATATTTTATGAAGATGAGCAGCAGGTAATAATTTCTTTTGAAGCTGCAAGGCTATTGATTAGGTTATATGTATTGTTCTTAGCTGGATAATGTCAGCATCAGTATTTCACTGTTAAGATAAAAATTAACTAATGTGTTAGGCCTCAAAACTTTAATCTTTGAAAGTATTATGCACCTGAGTCTGGTAAGTAGGCTTCTTAGTAAATATGGCATCGAAGGCCAAAGACCAGTTTCTGTAGACTGGCGTATATATTTCAGGAGCCTGTGCTGTAGCTATTACTACTGATTTGCTTCTAATGACTTTGTGTGTTGATGTAACTATGGAATGTTACGGATGAGCAAATATACCTTTAAGGTGAAATTGTCCAACTTTTCACTTTTTTTGACCTTGTTTCCATTTCAGAAAAAAAAATTGGTAAATAATAGAAGTAATAGTAAATGTCTGGGAAAAAAATGTATCTGACCTAGGTTTATTTGTAATAACTTGGCTGACATCAGGTTTTTCCTATATAGAAATTTAGAAATGTGAATGTATTTAAAGTAGGTAATATTATGAATTAAATATTTGTATTTCAAAGCTAATGCAGTTGTTTTCTACTTCTGTTTTAATAGGATTAGTGAAATTGATATAAACACCACTTTTCTTTAACATTCACAGCTGATAATAATGTGATTCATTGCAGTAGATGAAATATGTTTCATGTCTCTAAGGTCCATGTTGATTTTGGAATTAGATTTGACATATACGACAAATAGCAGCAGAAAAAAATATTCTAAAATAGAGCTGGCAATAGAGAATTAATTATAATTGACTCCTTGTGAGAGTCAGAGTGAGTCTTTCCTCCCTTTGCTTTTCTCAAATCAAAGACTGCACTAACAGCATGGGGGACATACACGTAGTACCCAAACCTAGTCACTATGTCTTTGAAGTATAAATTAAATAATTAGTTTTCCAAGATAACTTACTATCAGGTTCTAAGTCAGTTTGGCTAACAATGCTAAAAGGGATCTATATAGTGTAAATAGTTCATGTGCTTAATGTTTTTAAATTTATTAATTACTTTGTTTTATAGGTATTGAACTTTCTATATAAAAGACTAAAAATTTGCCAGGTTTTCTTCTGCTCTACATTTGAGTTGTATTGCACCCTTTATCTTAGAATTTCTTACTTGTAAATTTCATGTGGTTTAACAGCAATGAGCAGGTTTCTTGCAGTGGTAATGTGTAGGAAAAGTTTAAATTTAATTAAGATTTTTTTCTTTAACTTGCACTTGGGGTAGCTTTCTAGGAATGGGACCAAATTCTCCAGAATACACTCATGGTAACAAACTGCCTGCAGTCTCTTAGATGTTAGGAAAGCCCATTTGTCATGCTTAGCAGAAATGGTGGATGACAATACAGAAAAAGAAAATTAGTGTGTAATTTCATAGTATAATTGATAATGGATCAATTCTGACTTCTAACCTTGTACTTGGCTACAGATCTGTGCTTTAGCCAACTGGTATATGGTAAAACATCTTTAGAATTACATTTTTAAAAGGCCATCTCATATATGAGCAGAAAAGGTAGGGATGTGTACTATCATCTCTGACTGTGTCCATCAAGATCTTCTGCAGAAACTTGCTGTACTCTTAGATTTGCCTGAGCCATTATAATTTTTGTTTCGACTTTCGTTTTGCAGACACTAAGAATACCTCTCAGTCTGAAATACTCCTGTCCTTCTGAAAGCACATGGAAGCTAGCTGTTTCCTCTCTTCTCAGAGTTCTCTCCATTGGACTACCTGTTGCAAGGCAGCATGCATCTTCTGGAAAATTTGACAGTATGTGGCCAGAGCTAGCAAATACTTTTGAAGACTTTTTATTCACAAAAAGGTAAACACAATTTCCTTCTTTTTTTTTTTAAGGGAAATATTTATAAGTAATTTGTTCACTAAATGTGTCAGTAGAGCTATTTTATATCTGAAAATTATTTTAATGAATGATGGAGAAAAGGTAACCGATGTCTACTTCAAAAAAATTATACTTTTAGAAAGTAGTAGAAAAAGCTTAAATCAGAAGGTGAAACATAAAAGCAAGAAAGAGCTCAACTGAACTCTCAATACAAGGCAGAGTCGTTCTGAACAGGCCAAGGAGTTCTGTATGGACTCCCAAGGACATCTACTATAGATTTGATAGAGTTACTCATATGTACTCAATTTGTTCCTTTCTTCACTTTGACCAGAATTGCAACAGTAATTTTTTTTAATTACGGTGAACACTGTTAACTATATGTATTTCTCCTTAGTTTCATCTTGAAATATTCCACTAACTATGAATTTTTGAAAATTATTTCTTACACTACTGTTCACTTAGAAGCCCATAGTTATCTTGCATTTGTTTCTACTCAAGATAAATTGACTGTGCCTTAATAATTAACCACATTTTATTTATGATACTTTATGAAAAATGTAGCTAAATAGTCATTTATAACTAGAAAGACAGACATATGTATAAGTACATTCATAGTCTCTCAAGAATGGAACACTGTAGATGTGGGCATGTACAGTGGGTGGGTTGAAAAAGTCTGGAAGTGAAAAATAATAACAATCAGAGACAGACAATCATAGAATCATAGAATGGTTTGGGTTCGATGGGACCTTAAAGATCATCTAGTTCCAGCCCCACTGCCATGGGCATGTGCACCTTCCACTAGACCAGGTTGCCCAGAGCCCCATCCAACCTGGCCTTGGATCTATTAATTTGTTCAACTAAAAGAATATATAATTAGGAAGACATTGTAAATCTTCAGAATATAGTAAGAGCTTGCTCCAGAGAAGAATTTTTTTTGTCCCTTGACAATGGGTAAAAATGGATTTCAGTACAGCAAAGATTATCTGGATTAGACACTAAGGAAACCTTTTACTATGAGGAAGGTTAGGTATTGTAGAACATTGCATAGCAATGGGATGGAACTTCCATCTTCTGTGAATATCTGTGAGCAAGCATCTTTTAGGAGTAGTTTAAGTATACGTAAGAGTGTTTCGGACTAAAGGACAAGGTGGAATATGAAAAAATTAATTCCCTGATTTTCTCTGTATATGCTGATAACAGTAACAAACTAATCTTTCTTTTTAACAGAAAACAGTAGGGTTTGTCTGTGCCTTACACTAATATGCTTTCTATGTGTATGCATTTAGTTTTTAAACACACAAAAATCAGCAACTAAACAGAGCTGTATTTACTAATGATGGATAAATAGCAGCTTGCACAATACAAACAAAAAATAACTACTGATGAAAATTAATTTTAGAGACACATCAGTTAATGAAAATGTTTGTAATAAAGAATGGCTTTGGCATTTCACCAATAGGATTACATGGCAAGCAAGTGAAAAAACTTTCCATTGTTTTTGCATTTACTTGAAAGAAAATTTTATTAAATAGAAGGACCTTAAAATAGAAAAGATCAGCATGACTGCTTAAAAGACAATTCAATCATCCAAGTTTTTATGCTTCCCTGTTTCTTTAATTTATAATAATCTTCTCAGTATCTTGTTTTGGGTTTGTTTTCAGCTGCAGTTAGTAGTCCTGATTGCATTCTGAAACAGTTAACACCCTATAATCAATATCATTCTTTGGTTTGCAAAATGAAAATGAAGGTTTTTCAAGTTATTGCAGAAGAATCTATGTTCACTTAGAAGTTACTTTGGGAATACATACTATTTGCTGTAAATTAATTCTTCCTAAATATCTGCAAAACAGATGAAACATTTCCTTTTTGCACATTCTTAGCTGACCAAGACTGGCACTGCAACAGTTTCTTGTTATTAATTATTCATAAATCCAGGGAAGTAAAATTATCATAGATCTTCAGTGTAATTCAGGGTAATCCACTATCATCTGCATGAGGTTTTTTTGTCAAATAAGTTGTCCATTTTTCTTAATTTATAGTGAATGATTTATACTTCCCTTGAAAATTATTTCAACCATAGAAATTTCATCTTACTCTCTTGCTTGCTAGAAATGATCACTGCTCATATTAATTCTAATAGCTTTTGCCAGCTGTCATTCATGGGCAAATATTCTCTGGATGCAAAAGAAAAATAGTACTTGTGTGAATATTTGATGCCCTATCATGTCTGTCTTCACTTGTCTGATTTTGCCTCTTTAGAGACCAGAGTATATTCTATAATTATACATACAAAATGTGATTTAGGGATCAACTTTTTCATCATGATTGACGATGTTCTCAGAAAAGTTGTAGGAAACTTTTTTCTTCTTTCACTTAGAAGCTTTAAGGTTCAAAATAATTTAAAACACTAAAAACAGGCTGGTGGTTTATAGAACCACATGGCTACAGCAAGATAATTTTGCCTGTTATTATAATTAATGGCCATTATAATTATTCTTTCCAGGCTTATTGTGAATAGACAAATTTTGCTTTTGTAGCTGTATGTTGCATGGCTACAGAATGTCTGGTTTGGGGTTGTAATTTTTTTTATCTCTCTAACGTCCATCTTTTTCGAAATAGAAGTTTGTCTTCCCAACTGTATGGTTCTGCTACTTACAGTTAGAGCTCTATCCCTTGGTAGCTTTAGAATAGATAGCCTTTCTGTTCCCTCTATCAGCCTCAGTCTTGTGGTCCTAAAAAAAGTTAAAGCTAAAAAGGGAGTACATATTCCTCATGCCAGTAATCAGGACAATTAGTTATAGCAGTTATTTATCCTTTTCTTCATCCTCTTCCTCCTCCTCCTCCTCCCCACAATGCTACTGAAGTGTGCCTCTTACTGTGATGCAAGGAGGGCTCTAGAGATAGATGTCAAAGTTCCTCACGTTGAGGTAATTCTCTTCTGATTTTCCTTTAGTTAACTCTTTCTGCACTCTCTGCAAGGTGCTATGAAACTAGCCTTGTCAAGTAGGGCAAACCTGTCCCTTTTGTATTGAAATTTTCTAAATTGTGTCTTCTAGTGGATTGCAGTGGCAGTTTAGTCAGTCCCTTAAATTTGTAGTTGTTCCATTTGTAAGGAAATTGGATTCAGAATTTTCAGATTTACTGTGTTCTTTCAATTTTTCTTTTTATTATAATTTTAATAGAAAATATATGTTAATTGGAGCGGTGCCTTATTTCAGAGTAATTTGGAAGAATCTATTGACTGTTTTGAAAGTAACAGATTAAATTTATTGCTGAGTTGATGTCAACCTTCAGATTTTAGGGGAGGGCAATGAGAATCTACTTTCTTTTCCAACTATCCAAGTTTATCCTCTATTTAAGGCCAGCTAGCTGGCATAGAACTAGTTTTTGGTGTGTTTTCTGATTTATTTATATTAACAATGAGTTGTGTTTTTTAAAACTTTTGGTACTGCTTGAATTTTTGTCCATATCACCAAAATCAATTAACCAAGCCACAGATGAGAAGATGAGATCACCCTCTGCTCTTAGTGACTTGTAAACTTGACTTGATTTTAATGACCCTGCTGAACAAGTGGCTTTACTGCAACTGTGAGCCAGGTCTTCTCTGGTGGCTTTCCAACTTGCAAATATGCCATGCAGGACAGAGCAGTTATTAAGTCAGGTGCAGAAGTGTACAAATTTGGCTAAGGCCAGCATGGATTGAAAAGGTTCTGAAGCACAAAGAATTTGGCAAATACAATTCAGTTGACACCCCAAGAGGCTATGAGTGAGACAGAGTAATTGCATTACTGCATTGTCTGGATTTTTAGCATTCTCCAACGTGTCATGCCTTGTGACAGGAATACAGTTAGATATAATCAGTTTGACCTGAACATGGTTAGAACTGAAAATTGTCTTTCTTATGCTGGCATTCTGTAATTTTTCCTAAGCTCTTTGCTTCAAGGAAACTGGAATGTTATGTCACAAAAAAAACATATTTTTCTTCCTTCACTCTTGATACATTTTCATACTCCACACTTTCCACTATTAAATGTTCTAGATGTTTCATGTTACTGTCTGTCTAGGCTTCATGCAAAGCTAGGTAAAAGGCTTCCTTTTGTACCTACTCTTCAAACCCTTATTCTTCAAAGTTGACTTGGGACTTCTGGGATAGTTCTAAATATGAAACACCTGCATCTCAGTGAAACTCACTAATGCCTTAATGCAGTCAGTCCTCCTAGCAACACTGCATGACAGATTTGGTTAGGTTTTTTACTTTTAGCTGTGTTCATTAAAATATGCTGTTGCATATTGTCTCATTTTTCTCTGCATATTCTCCAAGTTTCTACCTGGCTAAGATGAAACTATTTCACTGATGTTCTACATATTTAATCAATATTTTAAACGTTTTTCTAGTCTAATTTGTAACTCTTTTAGTCACTGTGGCCCTAGAAATCACATGTGTAGATAACCTAATATTGCTTTGGACAGTGAAACTGAGTTGGCATTGGTTAGTTAGACAAGAGGTCACTGTAGTTTGAACTCTTAAATTAAAGCACTGTGAATATTTGTGTTTCAAATAGTGAACCTCCTCTGCATGGCCCCACCTGTATCTTTTGGACAGGAACAGACTTTCAAGCCAGCTATGGAGCTGAATGAGAGGAGATACTCACTGATGTTTAAAAAGTACAAAAGCACAGCAGAATTGGTCTCTGCAGCTTTGTACATCAAGAAATTTCACATATAGCCAAAAGAGCCCAGGTAAATGAAAAAGGAAAATGTTACTGTCTTAAAGAATTAACAGCTTCCAAGAAATAAGTTTCAGGTTTTTTCAGTTTTTGGGTTTTTTTTAAAAGCAAGCTACAGCTGAGGAGACTCAATAATCTTGATTTTTATTATAAATCAAAATGACATTTAAAATTAATACATTTCATGTAACTTAATTTACACAAAATTATCTTTAGTAAGAAGCTGATCTGTTTATTATTTCATACCATTTTTCCCAGAGGCTTTCATGGAATCATGTCAAGCCATTATATAAAATAAAATTCAATGAATGTGTGTGTATATACATAATTTACTAGAGCAGAAGTCTGTGCTCATATGAGGGAATTAAATCAATACTTTCCCAAAAGATGCTTCTGAACAGAGTGCTGCTGTGCACAGCAGGACTCCAAGTGCCTGTTGGCTCTGAAGCCCTGCCTAGACAGTGGGCAGTGGCTGGGAGCTCTGTATCTATGGAAGTTGCTGCATCACATGGCTTCTTATCTTTCCTGCCTCTTGACCCTCCCAGTGCAGTTTTGGCCCCTAGACAGATGTTTCATATAGACACCTTACAAAAATCTATTTACTTGGGAGTAATTTGCTACATGAACAAGTATGTAGCTTAATCTGTAGCATATATGGCAGATCAGATATGGATGACTAGACAGAAAGGTCTTAACACCTCTTTAAGTAAACTTCAGCTCAGAAAGTCAGTCATAGATAAGGAAGTGTCAGAGTGAAAGCTTCCCATGTATTTCAACATGACATGCGTTTCCACGCGTAAGTCTACATTACTGTTTAAAGGTTTTTCATAGTTGACAACTCTGTCACAAAAGGTACTGATTGAACAGCTATTTAACATTTTATTTTGTTCTTTGTTTTCAACATTATTATGATCAGGTTCTTTCAAATTATTACAGAGATGCCTCTGCCCAAAGAAAGGTGTCAATGAGACCATATGCTGAAGTCAATAGTATGGATTTTTATTTAACAGTAAATGTGAGGTAGAAAGGGATAGAAAGAAATAGAGAAAAGAGAGGGGGGGGAGAGAAAGAGAGAGAGAGACAGATTAAGTAGAAATATCACCACTCCATGGATTCCAACAGCGTCCCATTGATCCTCTTCCTGTGGTCTTCCCAGTGGTGAGAGTCCCAGTCTTGTCAGTGATAGCTGCAGTCTGGATCCGTCAAGGGAAGCCCAGAGTGGTGAGGGAAAAGCCCATGGTGGTGGAGGAAGTCCTTCCTGTGTGGGGAGGAAAGAAGTCTGTTGGTGAGCGAAGCCGAGGGTGGTGAGGGAAGACCTTGGTGGTGAAGGAAGTCTCATGTGATGAGAGAAGAAGTCCGTTGGTAAATAAAGTCTAGGGTGGTAGGGAAAGTCCCATGTGGTAAGGGAAGAAAACCAAGTGTTGAGTGAAGTCCATGTGTGGTTTTTTATTGGGTTTAGGCTTGGTGGGAACACCCTCAGTACCTCTCCTGGGGTGGGGAGTTCTACGTTGGATTCAGCATTCCAGTCACTCACACCTGTGGATACATTCTTCTGAGAGGATAACCAGACAATAGTACCACCTTTATCTTATCTCAAGTTCCTGTCACAGTCCAAATTAGCAGGCATATTCGGGGAGGGGTGGGCTTCAGTGAGCAGCTGCTTCTTTGCACAATTTGCTACAGTGGACAAAAGTCTTCCAGTGATTTTAACAACGTTTAAGCCATAAACCATTTCAGTGTCTCACAAACATGTAACTCCAAACTTCTTGTCTGCCTAACATACCAACCAATAATAAATACAGTATTTCATATTTTATTTTGTTTTTTTTCTAGTCATACATGTAACACTTGTCTGTTTCATAGAAAGGGTGAAGTTATCTACATAAAGTCTCTTTGAGGAGGGGAGATATATTTATTTTTCATGCAGGAACATTGGTACATACTGTCATAATTGTCTAAACTGAAAATTGGCTGTAGGTGTGCAGACTGATCTTCAGATGTCTTATGCTAAGCACCCAGAAGATGGGGAAAAAAAGTTTATCTTGGAAAAATCTTATTTGTCTTGGTCAGCAACATATAGGAACACTGGAAAAAAAATCAAAAGTAATAAAACAAAACAACCGCCAGCTAAGTTAACCAGATTTGAATGAGATTTCAAAACCTCCAAAGTTCTTAAACCTTCCATTAAAACTGGTGGGATGGAGAAGACAGGCCCAGGTGAGTACCCTTATTTAGACAAGGCTGGCACAGGTCCACAACCATATATTGGGCAGCTGCCTTGCCTGTGAGCATGTGCTTAGCTCTAAACTACCCACCACATGTCTGTTGTTTCCCGGGGAGGGGGACATGGGGTGGAGGAAAAGCTGGGAGTTTGGAAGTAAGCCAAAGGATGCCAGTCTGCTTGTCACTACAACAGTGCACTGATTCCTCTGCTTACAGAACAGCTTCGTTCCTTGTTCAGTCCAGAGGACTGTTTTCCTTATATCTGCCTATTCTGCCATAAATTAGGCAGGGAATGTTGTGTCAGATTGACCCTATCATTTTCCTTCCTTTTCAGTAGTGACCGTCCTGTGTACTTAATTGGATGGTTTCTCTGGAGTTTAAAAAAAAAAAAAAGGCAGTCTAATTTAAGCTGCATTGTAACACACAGCCGTACACAGTACCTGTGCGTTGAAGTATCACAGACAATCTTAATTCCACTATTGCTAACCATTCCTTTCAAGTGGTCAAATTTCCAAACTGTTCCTCTGCTTGAAGATGTCATAGCGTTATTTTTAAAAGTTAGAAGTAAAATCAGTGGAATACTTAAGGATACTTAAGGAAGGGTGCAAGGTGACTACACTGTAATAATTTCGTGATTTGTTCTTTTAGCCTCTCAATTTATGTAACTCAGAAAGTTCTCGTACCACAAGTTATCCTTAGCTCATAATCCATTTTTCTTCTAGTAATTGTGCTAACTGTATCTTAAATCTGTGTAGACTTTAGCAGCCAATCCTATGATTATGGGGTTATAAGCAAGGTAATTCAGAGTTAACATATTGTGTGAAGTACCTTCTTTGGTTTTGGGGTTTTTTTTCCCTCCCCAAAGTGCAGTAGAAGCATATCTGTAAAGCAAAATAGTACATGATGAGGACCCATGACCTTTATTTCAGAGTAGCTCTAGGGTGGCAAGCAACTATGAAAGCTTGGAGTATATTTTTTTGTTTAGTTTCATTGAAAATGAATCCAGTTTTATGCAGTCTTAGTACCAGACATGAACCAAGGTTTATAAAAGGAGATGTCTGAAAATTTAACTTGAAAAGCCCATGTCTGATCCAAAGTAAAACACCCATGTAGGCACATCAACTGAAGTAGTTGATTGTTGTCCAAGTAGGAGGCCTTTACTCTTTCTGCCCTGCTGAGGAACTTGGCCCAATAAGTCAAAAGAAGCATAATCCAGCAAAGTAAAGGAAATTCACTGAACAGGTAGTCCAGTAAGTACATGGAAGGACCCATAAATGAGATAAAATGTCACCTGAGAAAACCTCATGACTGAGAGCTGGCATAAAATTTCCAATCAAATGATACAAGATTTCCAAATGTACAAGCAGGTAGGATCTTGTGAAGTATTGGGAAATTTTCATGGTTGAATCACTTTTGAACATTTCATGTGTAAATAAATTTTTATGTATAATGGAAGAACTGCAGAAAGTTCTAAATGTCTTCAAAACTATTGTTTATAAAATGGGTTTTTCTTTTAATAAAAATTATTAAGAATAAGAACAAGTATATAATTTCAATTATCAGGGACAGTAATGTTCCAGTAATGAAAAGCATTTCATTAATGTAGAAGAAAATGTAAAATTAAAATAAAGTTTTTTACAGTTGTACCACTGAAAATCAAAAGTCTCTTTCTTGCACAGTGATTGAAAATATCAATCACAGAATTCCATTACACCAGGTTGCTCAAAGGCCATCCAACCTGGCCTTGCAATCATTAATTATTACCATATAATAGTACCAACTTGATGCATGTAATAACTTTAAATGCAATGCATTTTCCCATACTTATCTCCTTACACATGTTGTGAATTTAAAAGTATAACATAGTATGTTTATTTTTAGTACACCTCCTGATAATCTCTCAATTCAAGAATTTCAGAAGAATGAGAGTATTGATGTTGAGGTAAGGAGCCTATAACATATACTGAATCTCATAAAGAGTTAGTGACATTCACAAGTTGCATTTGGTTCTGAAATAGTTTTTTTTAAAGTTACCCTTTCGGTATTTTTTCTGTGATATTGTATTCCTTTTGGAAAACAAGACAGGAAATTCATAGGCCCAAAATTCATCTGCTTTGGGGTGATGCGAAAATTAGAAGGTGGAATGCCAAAAACTACTTCTTGTCCTCTCAACTTCAAAGCAGCGTAGAGCAGCTAAACCAGAATGTGTTTCTGCCTCTAACACATTACATGATCCTTACTTATTGTGTTATTGCCAAGCAATTGCACAGGTAATTGTAAACCACAGAGAAAGCTGTCAATTAAACCTGAAGTGAGTGCTTTCTGCATTGAAGGGGGCAGTCAGCAATGAAATCGTTGCCCTTCAGATGTGTTCCCAATACTGAGAAGCTTCTGCATAAATGAAGAAATGATGTCGTGTTTGTGCAGCACAGAGACGGGTGTAATTGTAGAGAGATAATGTTTGGTTGGATAAGGCTGAAGAAAATGAAGAGAAGATGATACTTGAAATGAAGAGGGACTTGTCCCCTTTCACTCCAGGACAAAGAGATGTGGTAGAACAGGGATTAGAGGTACAAAGCAAAAGGAGTTGCAGAGAAGACATGGCAGTATGGGTTTGATTCCCTGTCATCTTTCTAGAGTGGCAGCTGGGACACAAAGATTTCTGGATGAAAAGCAGGAGTGGTTCTTCCTGCACTGAGCAGAACTGTCAGATCTAATGCATTAATTTATGGAGATCTAAACCCACTTTGTTCCTGCATGGGAGCATCAAGACAAGGATAGAAAGCATTTCAGTTAATGTATATTGCCTTAAGCTTGTTTAGGCAATAAACTCACTTGTTCTGCTTTGCAGATGTTACATTGTAAACATGTGATATGTGTGTTAATGTTGTACTGAGGATATTGAATTGTGGGGAGGGAGAGGGAAATTCCTAATGTTAGATTGTCTCTTTTCAATACCATAAGTTTGATTTGAAGAATATACTTCAAATGTCAGTGGAAATCTCAGTGATAACTCCTTCAGAAACTCTGGCAAAAGTGGGGGAAAAAGGTTTATTTTTTCAAGTTTAATGTTCCGTTCAAGACCACAATTTTGGATGTATCTGCAAATTTTAAAAGCTAGCAATAGAAGATTTTGTAAAGTTTCATTAGGCCTGTCCCTCCTGTCTAATGTGTCTGTCTTCTTCATACTAGATTTACAATTTTGATATTCAGAAAGCCAATATAAATATATTTAATTTATTTTAGGTGGTGCAACTTATCAGCACAGAGATACTGCCATATGCTAATTTTATTCCTAAGGAATTTGTTGGTCAAATAATGACTATGCTTAATAAAGGTTCAATACATTCTCAGTCATCCTCCTTTACAGGTATGGTACCTGAATGACAAAAGCTATGGTATTTAAGTCTACTAGAAAATAATTAAAATGTTGTGAGTACTTACTCTGATAAAGACTTTAAGTTCCATGGCACGTATTCATTATAGACTGTTTGATATCCAGCTTGTTTATATAAACTATATTTTGTGGAACTTGCCAAGCATTCCTTGCAATTTTTTAAAAATTATTTCCTTACTGCTTGGACAGTATCGTATATAATATTGTACTTGTGTTAGTTTCTACATAGTTTATTTTGCTTTGTGCCAGTTTTAACAAAAATTTCAGACAATTGTAAGACACACGTAATATCCTGTTCTGAAAAACAAAATGACCTTAGCATAACTATATGGTGTACCTAACCAGATACCTTCTCTGCCTTTAAGAAAAAGTCACCTATGGTCTTTTTTGAAAGATAAAAATGGACATAAGCCATTACATAGAAAAATATTTGGACTGTACAGTACCAAATATTAGTATTTATGCTTAAGAACTGGGGTTGCTGGGTGTTTGATTTCATGTATTTTATTACTAAAGCAATGTCAAGTACATGACATGTTACTGAGTATGTTGCATAATTCATCTTTTATTTTTTGAAGTATTGTGATTTTTGCAGTCATTTTTTATTAGAATGTATTCTTAATATTTGTTCTTATCACTGTTAATATTTATTAATACTAGAGGATTGATAGCCTTTTTTCAAAGTATAATAAACCGATTGAAATGCAACATCATGCACACTGGACAATTAGATATGTCATTTTACTTTGACAGAAGCTGAAATAGATATTCGAATGAGAGAGGAGTTTTCTAAGGTGTGTTTTGAAACACTGCTCCAGTTTTCATTCAGTAATAAAGTCACAACTCCTCAGGAAGGCTACATTTCTAGGATGGCACTTTCTGTGCTCTTGAAAAGGTCACAGGATGTATTGCATCGCTACATAGAAGATGAGAGATTGAGTGGCAAATGTCCTCTTCCACGGTATGTACGTTTTCTTTAGGAACTAAAGGTATTACCAGGACTTTATGAGAGGAAGGTTGCATTCAAAATATCACTCAGTCATGAAAAAAATAAGGGGATGGGTGTTGAAATTTAAAAGCCAGGGAAATGTTTGTGGGGAAGACATTTCAAAGAAAATGCTGGTACCAATTTTTTGTTGAAAAACCTTTAAATAATAATGGTCGTATTCTGTGCTGTTACATTTTCAGTTACTGAAACAACATATCTGATATCTATAGCATAATACTTCTGAAATCTGATTTCTTTTTATTCCCAATAGAACTATGTGTAGTTATTAAATTGAGATGTGGAGTCTTACCAAAAATAAGATAAAATATCCCAACAGCAGCATTGTGAATCATTACTCAAGTAACTGTTCTTGAAATGGAAAAATTGACTGAAGTACTAAGAAATTCTTTAAAATAGGAACTTATTTGAAATTCACTTAACTTTTGAAGGTTTTGATCATGAATGTGGAAAATGATTATTATGTTACTGTTAATCATGTATTTTGATATGAGTATTTTCAGATTGAGATGTGTATGGTGTTACTGTTTAGAGGATCAAATTTAAAGCTATCCTAGCTGAGACAACAGCAATGATGGTGGTAAAGTTAAAGAAAAATGATAACATTAACCTCTAAATATCCTTTTAATGGCAGGCTTCGTTGCAGCTGTTTGCCATTAGGTGTTGTTTTCATGTTGTGTAAGTTTCATAGAAAACTTATATTCTTAAGGCAAAAATGAGTAGTTGACTGTTTGCATTTTTTCCTTTATAGGCAGCAAGTAACAGAAATCATATTTGTTTTAAAAGCTGTCAGCACTCTCATAGATTCACTTAAAAAAACTCAACCTGAAAATGGTAAGTTACTGTTAAACAACATGGTTCTAAACAAGGTAACATTACATCTGCCACAAAGATGTATTTATTATTTCCTGTAGTAATTTTCCCAGAAATTTGAAAGAAAAGTGTAGTCTGTAAGATTCAGTGTTTTGTAATTCTTTGTATATGCAGGTGGCAGGTAGACAGAAACAAAAACCACAAAGTTTTTCCAGTATGCCTAAAAGCATAAGGTCCTAAAATATATTTAATAAAAGAGAACCTCAATTTATGGTGTCTTTTTCTAAAAACAAAGAAACCAAAAAGCTGCCATAAAATGTTAGTGGAATTCCTAAATATATGAAGCCTTGCTAGATCCTTTTTTTCTTTCCATTATACCTTTGTAGGTCTTTATGGATCTTGTTCACATAGGTGCCCTCTGTAGTTGAAGCAGGTGTACAAGCTAAATGCACAGACAGGCTGGTAGATACTTAAACTTGTGGTGTTGCTATCGCTCTCTTCCTGCTTTAGTACCTCATGTGCCCTGGATTGAGAAAGATGTCTTAGCTCATTGATGCCCAGGTAAATGGTTGACAGATGTATTTAAAAGGTTGAATTAAATGAAAGACCTCAAATTCATTTATAATCATGTATCTTATTCCTCCTGTAAGCTGTGCCTACAGTGTATGTGTGGAGAGTTCTTGCAAAAAAACTTAGTCATGAGTCTTGGTATTGGACTCTGAAATTCTGGCAGAACTGCATATACAACACTTCCCTCTATTTCCCTGCTTTTGATATTACAAAGAACAGAAAAAAACCCCTTTTCAACCCTGAAACAAACAAACAAACCAGTCTTTCTGGAAAAACACAGGCAGGTGGGTTTCTGGAAAGAGGCAGTGCCTCATTTGCAGCATCACTGAGCAGCCAGAGTTACGATAATGTATTTTCCAAGGCTGATGGCAAAAGGGTGCAGGCAGAACTATGCCAGGATGCATAAAACCTTTTGGCAAACCCTGAAGGCAACTGAAGTACTTTGGTGGGTCTTCCTCTTAGAAGGGTAGAGTAGCCAGCTCAGCTGGACTGTTCCCCACATCCCTCTTCCTGTAATGAGAGGCATTCTTCCCCTGGTCCATATGCAGCAGTGCTTGCCAAACCTCCTGTGCACTTTCTTATAAAGAGAACCACCAGACAAATTACAGAATCACTTCACTCCCACTTCTTCTACCTTGTAATAATTTTATTTATTTACGATAATTATTAATTAAATCGGGGGTTGTTTTCTTTTGAAAGCAGAGCTAAAACAGAAATAAACAAGGAAGTGACATAATAAATAAGATTCATGTTTCAATGTTTAATTTCACTTGTTGGAGTAACAAACTTTACTATGGATATTTTTTTTCTTGGTCCAGTGTTTCTACCTCTGCTTTCTATAGCTCTTGTAATCTGGAATGATCTGAAATCAATAGCAAGTCTCAGTGCTGACAATTTTCCAGAAGTGAGATGTGCGTCCAGTTCAATTTTCTGTCTGTAGCAGAGAAAAGCGGGCAGAAAATGCACGTGCATTATAGATTTAATAAAAGTATTATCTTAAATTTGTCAATTCTTCATCCAGAAAACACAGTGAATGACTCATATGTAGAAACACAGGTGCGTAGCACCATTTTATGGATACTATCCCATCTGGCCTCCAGTTGTGGCTGCAAAAAAAGAATATGGCTCTCCTGCAGAAATCATGCCTCATATCTGAGTGCCCTGTGGGGATGCCATAGTGTCTGTATAGCACTGGGTATCTATGTTTAGGCAGCTGAATGTGCCCTTATTTATACAGGTACTGAAAAAAAATTTGTTGTAAGAATTTGGACAGTAGTAAGTGATTCAGTCTGTTCTTTTCTTCCTTGCAGTTGATGCTAGCACATGGGCACAAGTTATTGCCTTGTACCCGACTTTAGTAGAATGTATTACCTGCTCATCCTCAGAAGTGTGCTCTGCTCTGAAGGAGGCACTGGTTCCTTTTAAGGACTTCATGCATCCACCAGCATCCAAGGTACAAAATGGAGAGTCTTGACCCCATAAAACTTCTTTTTTATTCTTGAAGGGAAAAAAAGTATCCAAAAATGTTTGTTCCCGGGTGAAGTTTCTCTGAGGAAATCTCTTGTGACTAGTACTTTGGCAACTGTGCTGACTGCCTTTTAACTGTACTAACAAGAGCTCAGTAAGTCATGAATATAGGCTATATCTCAAAGGTTCCAGAGTGAGTAGCAGTGCAAACCTATAATAAATTTAACTGACTAGTTGGAATCATTTATAATCTAATGTACTTGCTACAGTATCTTGAAGTGGTGATTGAAAAGTGGGCTTATGTACAGCTTGTTGTGTATGTGTTAATGATGTAATTAAAAATATTTCAATTCAGTCAGATTTATTAGGCTGGTGTTTTGCACCCTTTTTTTGAAGTACGAATTGTACTAAAATTTTATGCAAGATGGTACTGTAACATTCCATATATCTGTAACCAGCCTTTGTAAACAAAGGGAACTGATATACTTGTGTGTATAATAAATGGTACAGTTCTGTATAAAATAGTTGCATTTATTATTTAAATTCTTTTTAAAATATTGATAATGTCAAATGCTTGAAAATGTATTTATTATGAATAAGTTGTATGCTTGCATTTTTACTTACAGTTTGCCTTCTAAATTGCCAGATATGCTCATTCATATCTGATCATGTTATTAATTTTTGCTTAATTGAATGTATCTTCTTTGTGGCCATTGGACATCTACAGAGGGTCATATAACAGAAGATTGCAACAAGCAGTCACAGTCTGCTGATCTCAAACTTCAGAGTAGTTGACCTGAAATAAGTTTTAATATGCAGAAATCCACTGTAGCACTTCAAGACTACCATACCTCACTTCATAATATATTTTTTCAAGATGTTTGTTTTACTTAACTCTATCCATTTTTGTAGTTGCAGCCTTGCTTTAAAAAAAACCCCAAACATATTTGAGGATTGTTAGCCTTTTTTGGCCTTCTTAGCAAGTATCACAGTCTTTGAATCATGACCCAAGAAAGGTGATTTCAAGTATCTAAAATACTTGGCTGTAATACTGTGTTCAGTAATTCTAAGTGCTTTGTTTTGTAATGTCTTTTCAACCCAAACAAATTGTTCTAATCTTTTAATTATAAACTGTGTCTGGTAAAAACCGCGAGAAGTGTAGTTTTGAAGATAGTTACTCATTTAGAAATGCAGTAAAATTTATCATTAAGTAAATGTGAATGTTTCACTTTCACGTAATACACAATTGAAGTAAAACACTTTTAACAGTATTGTTTTTTAAGTTTGTGATCTAGCATTTAAACTGTTCTTTAATTCATTTTGATTTCAGTAATGTTTCACCTGTATTCACATATTTTTAATCTGTGATGTGAAAGCACAAAGGCCAAATATATATTAAAAAAAAAGACAGGTGCCTTCCTATGGATTTCAGAGCTTATATTTAGGGTTTTGTTTCTTCAAGTCTTTTATAGATATTAAAAGAGATTGTCATGCATAAGAAATGGTATTACATCTGTTTGCTTTGCACTTTCCTGGCTAAAGGGACATTGATTGGTCCATATGAACAGGTGTAAAAGTTGGAAGCTTCAAGCTGAAGATGTGATGAACTGGTCAGGGCTACCCTGCATGAATAATGTTCTTCAAGCAGGGCTTTGGACAGGTTGCTCCCACAGGGCTCCAGTTTATGGTCCTTTTTAAAAGCTTTCTATTTCAAAGTACAGTAAATATTAAAGAGGCTTCAAGACCTTGCACATTTCTGTGACCGTAGTTGCATAGAACTTAATTGTGAAGCGTGGATAGTTTTAAGAGAACATACAGTTTACATTAAAGAAACAAGTTCTTCTCATCAATAGAATTTATGTCAAAATACCTTCTGTGGAGGAGCAATTCCAGTATACTGCAGAACTGGGTCTCGCATACAGGTAACAACATTATCCATACTCTGAAAGTGAAAACCTCACAACTGCTCTCCTAATTAGTGGAAGATAAGTCAAGGTCTATGAGGTTATTAAGGAAACAAAGCGTAGGACAGGAAAGAAGGGAATTAATTTGTTTTAAAATATATTATTTTAATCAGAATTTCTGGAAAGAGGTGTGCAGACCAAGCTGTGGGTAAATTTGTTTCTAATTAGTTTCTAATTGATTTTTCAGTAGTAATACAGATGCATTTGTCCAATGAGGTAAATCTTCATTTTTATCTGTAATTCAAAAAGGGAATGCATTAGTCTTTCCTGACTCTAGAACTTAGGCTATTTTACCACCTATAGACATTAATCTTCCAAAAATTTTGAAATAAACTACCAATGAGCTAACTTTCCTTTCTTTCCTCTTAATAACAAAATTAATAATATCTGTGCTATTTGAGGGGTGTTTTGGACATGTAAGCTTAGGTTGACTGTATTAAAACTGCTTTCTTTTATTTGGTATAAATACTTTGAGAACTAAAAACAAAGCTACTTAGCTTAGAAAAGATGTTTTCATTGAACTTATTTTATCTGTGAATAAGAATTATTCCCTTTACTGTGCCTTCTTGTCCATCACTCAAATATTTCTTCCAACCTGGAGTATCAGTTTCTTTTTTCTCTTTGTACTTTCTGCTAAACATTCTTAGGGCTTCTTTGATGCAAACAGCATTTTTGAATGTTTAAATTTCACATTTTTACATGTTTTTAGCAAGGTAAATCACAAGAAGTAAAACCCATGGACTTTTTCAGGATCGGGGTCTGCAGTGTGTCACTGAAGGCAGCTAGAAGAGGGATACAGCTGACTGTATAGAAATGTGTCAGCTGGAAGTTAGAAGATAAGCATTAATTGCTTGTTGAATGTAACCACAGTCTTCACCTTTTTCCTTCTTGTCCACAACTTTAAAAAATACGTGGATGGGAATTCAAATTATTAGATTATTAGCATGTTCATATCAAGACTTTGGATTATTTGGGAAAACTCATATGTCTCAATGCCATGACCATTGCCTTAATGTACTCAAGGATTTAAGATTGCATAATAACTGATTATGGAAAAAGAAAGAGGCCTCAAGCTGGGAACTTCTTAAAGAACATCTTATTCTTAGAAGTAACCTACAGTAGTTATTTGCTTATCTTCAGAGATGGTTATCTAACTGGAATCTGTTTTGTTCCCTTGTACATGAGCCTGCTTCCCCACCTCTTTTATTGGTGAACTATGGAATGTTACTGGACATTAAACCACATGAAACACATGGTCACTGTAAATTATTTATGAGAGTAAGTAAGAGTACATCTGTGAAACTTCAGTAGTTTTTCATCATTCTGCAGATGGGGTTCTTTCTTTACTTAAGTTGTTTCTTCTTGTCAAACAGCAAATCTTCTCATAGATGGCCTTGAACTCTTCAGGCAAGATATTTTTAGCGAGATTAATGCCTTTCTTTTCCTCAGCACATGACAAACACAAGTACTAGTCATCAGTGAGAGAAGGAATTGCTGTCCACACCTGCCTTGTGAGCAGTGCATATTCTGACTGCTACAGGCCTGTAAGGTGTTTAAAGTGGGGTGCATCAAAGTTCCAAATAAGGCAGCTAGTGTGTAGGGTTTGTTTAAATTGGAATCCAAAATTGTGCATAGATATGGCCTGTATCCGTAGGTGTAAACCATTTAACCATCAGCAAAATATTGATATTATATTTTTATTCCCTGCAAAGAGCTTACTTTCTCCCTGGATTTTCCACCCCTACCTTCTGACAGTACTTTTCTGTGTGTGCTTTTCTGCGTGTGCTTCAGGTGTAAGTTTTTGGGGCAGGGACTCTTTGTCTATACAGCATTTTGTATATCGGGGCAAGTATAAGTCCAATAAAAATGACTGTAAAAAGTCAATGTAGAAGATAGATTTCATTTGGGGAGTAAATACTCTTTAGGGTTTATAGCTGAGTTGTAGTGTTCAGGTTTATGTCATATTCAAAGTATCTGACTGCTGTGTAATTCAAGATAGACAACATTACACCCCCTAGGAACCAGTTGCTGGGATCAAGAATGACTACAGCAGCAGCAAGTGAGAAAAATATTGCATGGATGGTTTAAGAGTGAAATTCAATACTCGTGATTCTTAGGGAGGAGGGAGAACCTCAGAATAAAAATGACTGGACTTGAAGAAGGCAGCTCAGAAAATTGATAGGGGAGATCTCACAGAAGACAAGTTTGAGTTAAGAGAGGAACTGAGGAGATAAGACAGTTCCTTGGAGATGTGAAGGTCTTAACTGAAAATATGTGCCAGACTAGATGTAATAAGAGACCAACTCAGCTAAACAAGGAATTTCATTGAATTCAAATACAATGAGCGGAGGACCATGGAAGGTGGAAATTCAGATAACGCCAAAGAACAGTGTCAACAGATAGGGATGAAAGTAGATGAAATACACCAGTCAGCTGACGGAATAAATGCATAAGTAGTAAAAGATTTGCACTAACAAAAGTTCTGACTACTTAAAAGAGTATGGCTATTGACACAGGTGATTGGTGTTTGGTTCAGAGCTGCAATTTCTGTTGAATTTTTTTACTGTTTGTTACAGCGATGACTGATCTAAAAAGTCACTGCCAACTGCCAGTGTATTGCTTGTGCGTATGATATGAGTGACAAAGATTGAAGAAGCTTGCCTAGAAAAAGGAAAACAGGATAGAAAATGGTTATATCCTGTCAAATTGACTGAGCCGGACAAATGTCTTCCTGGTATTTAAAGAACTAATCTAAGTAATTTCAGCATTTTAAAGATCATCTTTGTGATGTCCTTGTGTCCTATCAGTTAGCGAGTAACATGCTAAAAACCAATCCTTCTATTTCTGAGCTCCTTATTTAAGCATTTTTGTCTTGATTATGAAACAACTTTGATAAAAAGGATAAGGTAGCTGTGTGTTCACTGTGCTAACTGCAGGACTTCACTAGCAAGAGATGAGACCATTGCTTGAATTTCTTATCTATGTTTAGAGGAGTTCTCAGATAAGCTTATTTTTAAAATCAGTATGATAAGCTTTTCTCTTTCCATGTTAACATGTTTATTCCCACTGGTGGTCCAGATGCCTGCCTTAAGAATCTCATAAGAAATCTCATTTATCTTCTTTTTACCTGAAGCATGATATCCTTATGGAAGGAATGAGTTAAGTACAGCTACCATCTTTTTCTTCAATCAAAAATACTGTGATGTTGAAGCATACTCAAAGGCATCAGCCCATCAGTCTGTTTTGTTTTCAGAAGAGATTACCAATAGAGAGAGAAAGAATGAATTTCTTACCAATGAGAAAGAAAATCCCTTGGAAGTCAGGTCTCGGTTTGGCATCTGCACAGTTTTGTTACTGAAGACTCTGATCTTCAAACTGCAGTCATACCTGTTGCTCTCTGTGCACAGAACATCTGTCTTAGTCTTGGCATGAGTCTCCATGACCAGTGGTATCTCCAAAGCTGATAGCTTTAAGACTGCAGAGGCTTGTGAGGATGTGACAGCTGGAAACTTGAAACTTGTCCAAACTTGACATTGTCTAATCTGTTGTTTTTAATGTTAACTATTTCTTACTTGGAACTATTAAAGTTGCCAAGGAACAGCTTATGTTTCTGGCTTCCTTGCCAGAAGACTCACTCTTCTTTCCCCCATCACATCACAAACTAATGCCTGGTCATGAGGGGAGGGACTGAGAGGCTCCATAGAAAAATGGCGGCCGAAACTGGATTGCCATCAATTCAGAGAGAGCAGAGAGAGCAATCTGTTTTGATCAGCCTCTCTCATGAGAAAACATGAAGGGGACAGGAGTTTTAAGTGCATAGTACTGCTGGCATGTACATGTACAAAGACCTGGTTTCTGGAGCACATCGCAACTCTTACTTGCAGATTTACTTGCTGAACATCTCTTCATGCCCCCTTGCTTGGCGTAGCATAATGTGGTACTACCTTACCACTAAAATGATCCCCAGAGTCTGCACAAAGTACTGTCCTGAAACAAATGAGGAAAGAGAAACATTTGTCTTAGAACAGAGTGATTTAAAAATCTTCTTTCAAAATATGATGTTAATAATGTCTGTTACAGCTGCATGCACTATAATATCTTAAAATTTGAAGCAGTTACCTGTTGCCAAAGTCTCAAAGAGAATGCATTGAACTGATGAATGGAGTAGCACAAACCCCTCCCTCTTTACAGAGTTAAGAGTGGGAAGCAAGTTCTTGAAGTGCTAAACTACAGTCTGTAGCAGTAGCTGTTTCTCGCACTTTAATTTCAATTTAATCAGCTCAATTCAAACAACTAGGTCAAATTTGGAAATGGGTTAGGAATTGAAAAAGTTTTGGGTTTTTTTTTCTTTCCATACACAGGATAGACCTATGAAGGTAAAATCCACTGTTATCTAAAAGGTGAAGGCACTGGCAACCAGAAACAATCAGTTGTCCTCTTTGTTAACAAAATGTATTTCATGGATTTTTCCAATACATTTAAAACATATCTAATCTAAGAATTATTTCAAATGACATTTTCTGTATTACTGCACTTTGCATCCAAACAGAGCTCTTGGCAAACTAATTAAGTGCTACATAATAAAAAAATGTATGCAGACATTTTCAGATAAAATGTAACCATTTAGCATCTAATAAGCTATAGAATCTTAACTATGAAAAATGTATTCCCTAGTTCTAAAAGGTTGCCAATCTTTGTGAAGTGACTATATTTAATTGCAAACAAGCATTTAAATAATTGCTAATGAAGTAACAATAATCTTTTAGAAGAGATAAATATAGATGCAAAATCAGGCTTAAAACATAGGTTTTTGTTTATTTAAGTCATTTTTAAAAAGAAGTTACTTTTGACAGAAATCATTCCTCCTGTAATCAAACTTAGGAGAGGCAGTAAGTAGTATGTGCTTTGAGATGCACAAGTTGGATTTCTTTTCTGAGATTTAGGTAACTAAAATATTGAGGTCTATCACAAGATTAAATAACCTGGCTTTCATTTGCAATCAGGGAAGACAAAATAGGCAGGCCTGGCAGGAGAACCATTCTATCCTAAAAGAGGTCACGTAAGTTGCTATATGGTAGTGACAGCGCTTGCTAACAGAGCATAGGAAAACTTTAGGCTTAGACATCTGGTGTTTCATGGGGTTTTTTTTAAGTTTACTTTAAACATCTCAAAATGGAGATGAGAGAGCTACAGTAAATGCAGCTGACCTTGCTATTGCCATGTGTTGATGGTGCTGCAGTTTTTCTGAGTTCCCCTAACAGCATCTTCTTTGTGGTTTTTGTTTGTTTGTTTGTTTGCGTTTTGGACCTTTATATGTCCTTTGCAAGGGGCCTACTCTAAGGCTTGCCTGTTCCCCCCTCCTCCCCCCTCCCTCGGAGATCATGTTTAAATATTTGTTTGTTGTACCCTGTGTCTGCAAGGGATAACATGCTGTGACTTCCTTGTTGTCATGGCATTAGTCTAAATAATTAGACAAAGAGTTAAGAGATCTACAGTTACAGTTACAGAAAACTGAGCTCTTTTTGAACTTTAAATTCTCCTTGCTACTGATGTCTTGGTTTTCCATTGCTTCCCCAATCTGGACAAGTATGTGACATTATTGTCTTCATGAACTCAGTAAACTGAACTAAACATTTCCAGTCCTGCTACACTTTTGTACACTCATCAGAGAATTTTTCCATTTTTTTTATATTACATTTAACTGCTGCTTTTCCCCCAAATGTTTCAGCAAGGGTACAGTTACTTCTGATACCTACAACTTGGTGCCTGAATGCTTATTTTTGTCATTTGAATTTCTCATCTCTGAGGAAAATGAGAAAATACTATCTAGTAAGACTGAGTTCTTTCAAAGCCCCTACACATTCACACTCTCAGTAAAAAGACTTGAATTACTGAAAGTAATTAAAGGCTCCCATCCTCAAAATCTTTCAAGCTTTGCATTACAGGATGTGGGACAGACAGAGGGAATCAGAAAGGTGGGTGGCTCCAACAAACATTTAAGGTCTTGGAAGCATGCAGATTGATACCTGTATCCATCTGCAGCCTTGCATATTTCCTAACCTTTTAGGTCCTTTTTCATTGCTTTCCAGGATCTGCTTTAATGACTCTTGGAGTTCTTGTTTTTAGATAAATGAAAATCCAGAAAGAAAATATCAGTGTAGGTGTTCTGATTTGCCATATAATAAACTCTGATATACTCTTAAGTATCTGCCAGTACTTTGTACTGATATCTGATTATAATTTCTGCCTGTACATGATAAATGACAAATACTTCAATTAATAAACTTAACCTCCAAGAGGAAACAGTGTTCTACTATTGTTTATCTCCCCTTCATATAAATAATTAGATCGATCCAAATGATGTGGTTTAAATTTACATTTTACTTTCACCCAGAAGTGCTGATTTTCCTCATATAGAAATTGCTAACTTCTTGTCTAAGAAACTTTCTAAATGTTCTCATGATGTTAAGATGGGTTTCAGTCTGTTAATTAATGAGTGTAAAAGAGACCTTAATTCAGGAAAACAAGTCATTGAAGTGTGAAATACTGATAGTCTTGAGTAAAAGTTGCTTTACATTATAGTTGAAGCAGCTTGAGAACAGAAGGGAGCACATAAAAAAAAAGGTAAAAATTAACCCAGAATTAAGTAAAAAATTTAATATTCCACGTATGGAAGATTTTTTCCCGCTACCAATATATTTTGTAATGTAGTTAAAATAAATCTGAATATTTTATAGGGAAAAAAAGTATTATAATATCTAGCTTTTGCTTTTCTTTTTAATAAACACTTAAACTTTCCCAATTTTAAATGGTGTTTCTTTTTCAGAACTGGGTTTTCATGTGTATGACAACTGAGTAGGAACAGAGCATACATTTCCTTGGTGCATCTGTATTTGTAATACTTTGCCTCTCCTTATTTGACTTCAAATAGCACAACAATTAAGTCTCATTGCCCCTGTGAGAAATAGTATTACCTGGCTTTACCGAGGAAAACAGGAATTGAGAGAAAATGGTCTGAAGGAGATCAAACAGTCCCTTCCAGTACCAGAAGTAAAGGACTCCGAGTTACTGGGTACTTCCATTTTCTCAGCTGTAGAATGTTCTTTAATGTGCCAGGCAGTATCAAAAACATATGTACTTCATCAGCATACAGAAACTCTTGACATGTTTTCTCCAACAGAATGTCACTGGTTTAAAAGTCTTTTAAACAAGCGATCAGTGATCTGATTGTGCCTGATGCTTAATGTAGGTAGCAATTTCAAAAATGGGGAACCATGTCATTTTATCTTTGTCTCTAAGGTGGCAATGTTTTGGCTGCTTTCTAGTGTGACTTTCTCAACTACAGCTTTGTTGCAAGTTCTCACTAGAGGCATTGCATTTCATTCTTAACCCGTGTTGCAAATAGTTTTGCACTGGAAACTCCAAGACTTGTGTATTATTTCCATATTTTGCATCACAGATTATTGTTAATACAGTCTTTGTAAACGCAGTTACACATTTTATTTTAAACTCTTGCAGTCTAATCCCTGTTGTGTGTTGGCAGTTGTTTTTTCAATAAATTTGTTCATAAATGAGTTGGTGGTGAAGGGCAAGAACGATCGACCAGAATGTTAGTTTAACTTTGGTGAATCTGTAATGAGGTTCAGTGTTTCTTTGAGGTCAATTTCTGTGTGGAGTAATTGTCTTGGAGCCTGTTTTCATTTAGAAGGAAAAGAGCTTCCAAGTTAAAGTGCAGAGCCAAGGGTACTCTAAAAGCCCGTGCCCGCTCTGCCCCTCGCGCTGAGGGACTGTGCGGTGACATCCCAGCGCCATCCTGTTGCCGGTGCCGCCGCGGCCCCGGGCGGTGGCGCCTCTCCTGCCCCACTGGGCCCTGCCGCTGCCGCGCCGCTCCCGGAGCGCGTTCCCAGCGGAAAAGCCCCCGCTAGCGGGCGTCTGCTCCCTCCCGCCCCGCCTGCGCCTCCCGTGGGTCCCGCTCCGGCCGCGGCGTTTCCCGCGGCCGCCGGGCAGCCCCCGATCGAGAGCGACAATCGTGACTCTTCCCGGCGCTCCGCGCGCCGCCCGGCGGAATAGCGGGCGGGGCCGGGCTCTGAGGAGCGGCCTCGCGCCGCCCCGCGCCATCTTGGGCCCGCGCCGGGGGCAGCGCTCCCCCTCCCTCTGCAAGATGGCGGCGGCCGGGTGAGTGGCATGCCCGGTCACGTGGGCGCGGAGCCCCTCTCCCCCCGCGTTACACGCTCTCCATGGCTCAGCCGGACACACGGGCGGCGGCAGCGGCGGCGGCGGCGGACGGACGGAGCCGCGGCGGGAGCGGGGCCGCGGCGGAGCGCGGCGCCTTCTTTGTCTGCGGCCTTGGCAAGGCGAGCGCCTTCCCCTCCCCGACCCTTCAGCGCCTTCGACAGAGGGCTCGGTTTCTTCTTCCCTGCCGGCAGAGGCGGCGAGGGCTCCTCGCTGGGGCGGCCGGGGCGGGCGTCCTTCCGCGGTCCTTTCGCCCCCGCCGGCGACACAGCGCGACCTCGGGCGAGTGGGGCTGGGGCTGGCGCGGGCCGGCCCCGCGGGCCGTTGGGAGGTCAGGGCGGGCCGGTGGCCGCCGCCTCTCCGCCCCGTACCCCCTTCCTCCGCGGCTGCCCGGGCCGGGCCGGTGAGGCCGCGCTGCGGAGGAGCGGCGCGGGCAAGACTTGTGCCCCGCTGGCCCCGCGGGGGTGGGCAAGGGGGGCGGCTGGGGGGATCGGGGTGTGGAAGGTGTCTGTCTGCTGCGTTTCTGTTCCCCCCCCCCCCCGTTTCTCTGCTTTCTTCCCTCCCTCCTTCCCCTCCCTCCCTCCTTCCCCTCCCCGCCCCATCTGTTACAGGCTTGCGGAACTGTAGCTGTTTGAAATTAAACGTGATCTTTACTGTACCAGCTGGGGTCTGTAATGTATCTGATAAATGAAGCTCTTCCCGTTGGTTTCAGGTCATGCAAGGAAAAGGGCAAAGCTGGGGAGGGAGCTGGGCGGGGTTTCCCTTTGCTTTTCACAGTCAGGCGAGAGGAGTCTGGTTGATGTCTGCAACAGATAAAGGAGACGAGGATCATCGAAAGACCCCAGAGCCTTTTTGTCCTTCTGCCGTTTTTCCTTCTAATTTCACGTATGGCTGCTGTGTTGTCTGCCTGCTTGTTTCCCCCTTCAGAAGGGGTCGGGAGCACCAGGGCCCTGGCTGAGGTAGTAGTTTGTGCTGTTGGTCGGGTTGTGACATTGCCCGCTGTGGAGATAACTGCGCAAGCTACTGCCTTGCTAGTGCTGGTGATGATCAGCTGCAGATGAAGACAATGACAATGGGAATCCCCTTTGTTTTCCGGCATTGCATGCTGCTGAGGTGGCAACAATTCCTTCTCCTAGTTCTGCAGGAGGAATCTAGCCTTGGCCACCGAGACGAGTAGTGGTGTTCGACCGCATCAGGCAGAGCTGGATGAAAAACTATTACTTTCACGCTGGCTGGAGGGCACCTGAATTTGGGCTGAAGAGCAAGTGTCTGCGTTTCTTCTCAGACCTTATTATTCATGTGACATCCTTGAAAGAGGTGGATTTTCTGTTTTGTGAAGATGGAAATCAGTGGTAGACTTGTATTTTGTATGTTCTAATATGCAAAACTTGTTTGTGTAGTATTAAATGGTTTTGTCTGAATAGTAAAAAGTCTTGAATATTTGTCTAAGAAAAGCAAAAATGTGTACTTACCATTTTCCTACACTGGTAAGAGTCCTTTTCAGTATAGTTGCCATTGTACTGCTTGGTGCTAACAGTTTTTTAGGTGAACTTCTGAGTTACCTTTCCTGTATGTTTTGACTTACTGTGAAAAGCAAATCCATGAATTTGCTATTGTGAATTAACTAAAATTGCTAGTATATTTATAGTGATGGCTAAAGGTATCTTTTTCATATGAATTTTAATGTGTTGATCGTTGTTATAATGGCTTAAACTTGGAATATATTAAAATGTTTACAATAAATGTGCATAACTGTCTGCTATGTTTTTAAAAATGAAAGTTAATTTTTCAGTCTTTATAAGACCTATGAGCAGGTTGTGGTTAATCTATTGAGTTTATACTGAAAGTTAAAGCTCTAGATAAACACTTGAAATTAAGTTTGTGCCTTAGTAGTGCTTCTAATTCACAGTTCTAGTGTATTTATAATATTGGGAAGAAACATGGTGATGTTTAACTGTCTCTTTTTAATTTTTTGAACTCTGCGTGTTTAGAAGACATGCAGAGGTTGCTCTTGTACGTCTGCTGAATGTAAAGTGCCTTGCAGAACACAGAGAAGTTTAATTTGATGATGCTTCATTTCTGCCCTGTGTGGTGCGTTATTCTGGTAATTCGAGCTCTATCATAAACTAAACTTTTAAAAAGCTAGGTATTCTCATGCTCACTAATAAACTAACACATTAAGTATTTTTACTAGGAGGGTTTTTTTTGAAGTTAAATAGTGATCATAGTTGTTGACTGTCTGCAAATTTAAAGCATTCCCTGTTTTTTTCCCAACTTAATTGAAGGGTCAAAAAGGATGCTATAGCTGCCTGCTTTTCACATACTGACAGCATATCTCAAGCAGAGACCCTTGAGGTTTGATCTGGAAGTTAGGATGATATTTTCACAATCTACCTTTAGGCATCTATTTTAACTGGCCACCAGTCCCTCTCTCCAGTGGAGAAGGCAGAGATATATCACTGATACAAATCACACTTTTAAGTACCTTAATATTATTTGATCTGAATTGGCCTTTCAAGGAGCTTGTCTCTCTATGTTGATTGTAAAGGAGGTGAAGGTCCTTTAGCTAAGCTAAGTGCCTGTAGGTGGGTTGTGTGAAATTGTCCTCCTTGTTGCTTTGCCTTATGCTTAGGCAACTTGGTAGGACTAGATCTTGGCTCCCTTTGTAGCTTTTTGGGTTCAAGGGAGAGAATCAATGAGAGAAAATGTGTTCAAGTATACTGCCATTAAGCACTTAGTTGCTTTATCTTCTGTGTAAATTATCTCCTGTAAACTTCACTTGCCACCTGAACAGTTAGTTCTTTGGGCTCTAGATGGTGACTTCAAAGTTCAGGAGAATGTTAAGAACCTGCACTTACAGTAAGTAAGGTGGTGCTACTGAAATAATGCACTATTGGGGGACTACTGGTGAGATGATGTGTAATGCATGAGGTGGTTTGTCCTCATGTCCACATAGGTCTTGATTATGTATTGCTTAGTAGGTTTTAGGTACGTACAAGTGAATTACTTCTTGGAAGAGTTGCATACAAGATGCTTAGCTTTGCTCTAGGGCTATCCATGCATTTCTTGGTTCAGAGCACTACTCAGTCTTGGATTCAGAATACAGATGTTGGTCCAGTCAAGTATCGGTCCTTACTGTTTAAGTCCGATTTCCTTAGCATACTTATGTGAAGAAGGCTGCAACATCAGGCTTTGACGCAAAAAGATTTAATTCTTCAGTGGAATGGAGAGCTTTATCTTAGTGAGGTTGTAAAAGTCAAAGCTGGTATTTCTGAATCTGTGAACATGGAAAATGGCAAGAGCAGCTCGTATCTTGCAAATTCAGTGATTCTTTATTGTGATGCGATTAATTAGTCGGGAAAAAAATTGCATCGTGCCAATTAAAAAAGCGGTAGTGCTGGCACATTGTTGTCTGTGGCATTGTCTCATGCTGAAGTTTTTTCCCCTCTATTTTTCAGAGGTTTCACACAACTTCTTGTGTAAATTTGTGTAGAAACACTAAAACA